TCAAAACGACTAAACGAAGTAAAAGACTAAACGAAGTGACTAAACGAAGTAAAAGCATTAGAAAATTATAGCTTTAAAGAAAATAGTCTTGGACCTATCAGGAAATTTGAGGCAGATACCAATATTTTAAAGGGATACTCCACCCAAAAATTAAAATTCTGTCATCATTTACTCCCCCTCAAGTTGTTGCAAACCTGTGTGAGTTTCTTTCTTCTGCTGAACACAAAGGAAGATATTTTGAAGGACGATTGGAACTTTGGCACCATTGACTTCCATAGTATTTTTTTTTTCTACTATGGAAGTCAATGGTGCCAAACAACTGTTTGGTTCCAATCGTTCTTCAAAATATCTTCCTTTGTGTTCAGCAGAAGAAAGAAACTCATACAGGTTTGCAACAACTTGAGGGGGAGTAAACGACAGAATTTTCATTTTTGGGTGGAGTATCCATTTATCATCAAGATCAGCCATAAACAGATCATTGATATGTTTACTTCCCCTTGCCACATTTATTTAGTATACTGCAATGTAGAACGACACATTTCAGACAATTTACATTGTGAAATGCTAACACTAAAAAGGGTGAATAGCATGAATATTGCCAAAGATCATGACAATGGGGAGAAAAAAAGCAGCGATATTTGAAAAGGAGATTAGAAGCTCCAAAACTGCACAAAAGCCTCAACTATAACCACTTTTAAATAGTCCGCAAATTTGAGTTAAACAGTGAATGCTTACAAAAAATAAATTAAGACAGACACTGAATCTTAACCAATTTGGTACACAGAAAAACCCTAGATGGGACCCTTTACGAGTTAATACTCAACTAGCATGAGATATCCTTTAAATGTTGTATAAAACCCACAAGAACAAGAAAAACGTTTCAAACATTTTTTCAATTTTATTCTGGAAGACATATTTTGCATTATGAGGCAGTTTTTCTAGTCCCTTAGCCCTTGACGGAGTAGCGGCTTGAGGAATGGTTGCTTGTATAGCTGGACATCTGACCCAGATTCACGTAGAGCCTGTGCAGTCTGACTCTGCGGGATACCAGAGAACATACCAACAGAAGATGCTTGGGAACTCAAGCCTAAAACTGGAGCTCTGTTGGAACCTGTGAGGCGCTCCTATGTCACAAAACGCTCAGATATTTTCTTACTGATTGGGGAGTCAGAAGGAGCTTGAGATGAAAGTCTAGAGGTTCTTTCAACTACACCAAGGAGACCCTGGGTTCGCCGAGAGTCTGAGCTATACAGGCCATTTGACCTCTGATCAGTGATAGACTGACTAGAAACAGCTAAGGGAGGGTAACCAAGCTTGGCATATGTATGGGACCCAGGGATATACTTGCTAGAGGGGCTTTGAGAAAGCCCACCATAACTTGTGCTACCATCCTGTGCAGAAACAAACTGTCCAGAATCTCCTGATGAGTCTCCTGCTGAAGACAGAGAAGAGAACCTACTCTGCATTGTTACTCAGTATTTGATCATTCAAATAATTGAACAAAATAAGGGATGGTTAGTGATAATTCAAAACACTTTATACAGACATTTTGCAATAAATTGGCAGTGGTGGACAGTAACGAAGTAAATGTAATTCGTTACTGTACTTAAGTAGCTTTTTTGCGTATCTGTACTTTACTCAAGTATTTAAATTTTGGGAGACTTTTACTTTAACTCCACTACATTTCAAAGTCAAATATCTTACTTTTTACTCTACTACATTTTCAAAATCAGTCGTTCCTTTTTATTTATGAGTGGATAAAAACGTAACTGGTCAAACGAGCCACCAATCACAGTACAGCACGTGCGCCTTGTTTTGAACTTGCCTTGGCGGTATCTACTAAGCGCGAACCAGAGCAGTTAAATATGAGAGTTGCGAACATAGATGGTTGTGACAGTGATCTCGCCGCCGCGTGGTCACGTTATTCGTGTAGCTCTCAATAGTTCCAAACAAATCGCATTGACAATGATTTTAAGCGGGACAGAGAGCAGCTGCTATTATTGCAGCAATTATCGGTAAATGACGCATAATGTACATTGCTTACGTTGCCACTAAAATGACTTGCATATAATAGCTTTTTTTCTTCTTCTGGGGAGTAGCCTAGCAGAAACACTGCATTAATACGTTTTTGTGTTTAATGTTGGAGGGAAATTGGCTGCTCCCATAACATAGAATATAGAATGTATATATATATATATATGTATGTGTGTGTGTGTGTGTGTGTGAATATATGTGTGTATGTGTGTGTATATATATTTAATGGCGTTGTGCAGGTTTATGTGAATGTATCATAACATTAAGATGTTAATAATTATGACCATAGGCGCTGGAGAAAAATATATACAGTAAATACTGTAAATGTTTTATACCTTATGGGAACAGTCCCTTTCCCTCCAAAATTAAACACACAAAAAATTAATTCAATTCAAATATATATACACACACATATATATATATATACACACATATATATATATATATATATATATATCAGACTAATTAATGCCATTTCATTAATAGATTGGTGTGCCAAGAGTGACATTAGTCTTCACTTAGACTGAGTTAAGCAAGAGTCTTGTGACAAATTATAATAGGACATTATAGCCATAAAAAATCTAAGTACTTGGATGCTTAAGTACATTTGAAGGCAAATACCAAATTGTACTTTTACTCAAGTGAATGTTTAAAGGCAGCACTTCTACTTTTACTTGAGTAATATTTTACCTTGAGTATCTTTACTTTTACTCAAGTACATGTCATGTGTACTTCGTCCACCACTGTAAATTGGTATTTTTTATTTTTGCATATTAACAAAATTTGCTGTTGCAGTCTTATCAGCCATTCTCTCTCTCTCTCTCTCTCTCTCTCTCTCTCTCTCTCTCTCTCTGTGTGTGTGTGTGCACTCTTATTTGCACTCTTGATGTTTTAGAGTGTCACCCCTTCATTGCTGTACACTTTTTTTCTCCACAGTGGCTGATCTGTAGCTTGTACCACCAAAAGTTTCTCTGAGTTTTCCTATTTTTTTCGTATTTCCCATTCATTTCCTATGTTGGTCATTTTTGACCGGGAGGAAGCTAAGTGGGACTATTTTTTTTACGACCCTTTAACATATCCAAATCATCTCCTTGATTTTTTTGTGTGATCACATAGGTAATACAACAAAAGTCACCAAGTTTCATCCCCCTCTGATGAAGCAAAAAAATTAAAAAAATCAAAACGTAAATTATTTCGGTCATTTTTGACCGAAGAAGCCGTAAGGGTTAATAATGCTCTTCATTTCCATCCTACTGATGTTAACTTCTACATCGATGTCTTCTCTTTTTGTGGCCTCCTTTGCAGCCTTATCTGCCTTTTCGTTTCCTTTAATTCCAATATGTCCCCAGACTACCTAGTAATCTTCACTACTGATCAATGTAAGATTCTTCTTCTTTCAAGTTTAATGGCGGTTGGCAAACCAAACTTTAATGGTGCATTCCCGCCACCTACTGGATTGGAGTGTGGATAACGTAATGGTATTAGTGACCTAAATCCTAATGTAAGATTAAAATATCTCCAACACAAACCTCACAATAAAATAAAAAAAACCTTAGCAAATCAAGGAGAGATAGATAAATTGTACCTTTAAATCCAGAAACATTACCCAAAAGCAGGAAGATTACAAACAAGGGGAACCTACAAGTATTTACACAAAATATTAAATACAGAACATAAAAAAATAAACTCAATATTTGCTGAATCATTCACAAACACAGATTGATTACATTAATAAACTCACTTGTTCCACCATTGATCCATGACAAACAAACCCCTTTCACTTTCTCAAAACACTACACAGAGGCTACAAATACAAGCATACATGTAGCTGGAGAGAAGTGTTTTTTATAGGCTGTCATTAGTCCAGTTAGAGCAAATAACTAATTACATGAAACATCGTTCACCTGGGAAACTAACTGGATGTTAAAAGATAATTTATGATTGTTTTATGAAAGCTCTGATACCCTCTGCTCTTTAAAGATTGTAAAGCATATAATTAATTCAGACATTCATCCAATGTCTAGGACATTCTCATACACCTTACACAAAATGTGCCTGTTTGTTTTGTGTAATGTCATAATGTAATGCAGACTTTGCAGAGACAATACTGATATATGGGGCACATACGTTTTAGGATTGGGCACATGCAGAAGAACAAAGCTCAGTTTATGCTAAATTGGGTGGAGTTTAAAAACAATCCTGTACATTTTCTTATTGTCTGACTTGGCACATTACATGGACAAGGTTAAGCAAAACGTACATTTTTCAATGTCTTACAAAATGTGTTTTGCACAATTGAGAACCACTGTGCTTTGTAAAGTCCCTATACCCTGTTATGCAAATTGAATCAGTACCAAAATTGACATCAGTCAATCAGGATGTGCATTGCTGCAGTATTATATTTGATTACTTTCATCATGATCATTAATTTACACCACATCAAAGTTTATTTAATGAAGCAAGTGGTCACATACATATTTCCAATATAGTGTTCATGCATTAGGATAATCACTTCATTATGAATTACCCTTGATATTACGCACTGTATCACAGTAAATATTTATGGCACCAAAATAAATTATAATAAATACATTTCTTACACAACTATAAATTACACCTTTTTATACAAAACATAAATTAACGATACGACAAAGCATGAAAAAAAATATTGCTCAGTGTTTGGATTTCTTTCTTTGATTTGATAGAGCCACTGTGCTTATCTATTCCCTTTTAATGCATTCTATGAACATATGGCTTCCTTTTATACTTTATGATATATGTACTTATAGATATGTAGTGGATTCATTTTAATGATGACAAATTCATAGAATACATTAAGCCATTATACATTAATCTTGGCACTTTTTGAAATAAATAATCACTGTTTTGCGACATACTATTAGTTTGTCAGTTCAAAAATTTTGCAGGCTAAGAGAAAGGTTGGCCTTTACATCATATACCACTTGGTCAGAGCACTGTTTGACACACTGAGCTACACACTAAAGAACGTTCACACTATAGTGTAGCGACAATATTCATACAATATTTTCTTTACTAATTAGCTAAACTTTCACAATAAATAAATACCAAGAGCAGCAATGAAAAACAACTTTGTAATCCGTCAGTGTAGACTTGGTGTACTTGATCAGAGAGATTGAGTAACATCTAAAAGTGTAGAAGACAGATTCATAGCTGATTGAACGACAGAGTGAATGAACAAGGAAAAAAGCAAGACTAATGTTTGGAGTCTCGGGGATAAAACTCAGCCAGAGTGCTCTGAGGAATCCTCTTCAGCATCTCTTTGGGGAAGATTCTCAAGAGCTGCCAGCCAATGTCCAATGTTTCGAACACAGTTCGATTCTCATATGCACCTGTGATACAAAACATGTTAGGTTCATTCTGAAGTAATATAGAGTACAGCCCATTGCCATTCACGGAATTTAATTACATTTGATAAAAAAAAGAAAAAAGTATACACTTTTTTATTACTTATCAATATACTTTCTAAATGTCCTTTCACACCAAACTTGAATAATGTGAAAAAAAAAAAAAGATTTAGAATGCAAACAATGCATTCCTGAAAAGCTATTCACACCGGGGTGAACATATGCCTGACAACAAACTAAAGTTTTTGTTTCTTTGTACGGTGCTGAAACAGCATTGACAAATAAAGTTATAATTGTCGGGTCATGTGACCATTGCGGGTACACATATCAGTACATCTCAACGTGCCAATAAGCATTAAAAAAATAATACAAAGATTCAGATTTATTTGAAAGTAATAAAGATAGAAAATGCAAGCATTTGGTATGGTATTTCAAGTGTTTGCTTTGAAAGGGCCTTAAAGAAATAGTTCCCCCAGAAATAAAAATTCTGTAATCATTCACTCATCCTCAAGTTTGTTCTGCTGAACACAAAAGATGTTACTTTGAAGAATGTAGGAAACAAAACAGTTGCCTGTCCCCATTGACTTCCATAGCATTATAAAAATATACTATGGAAGTCAATGGGGACCAAAAACGGTTTGGTTACCCACATTCTTCAAAATATCTTCTTTTGTGTTCAACAGAACATAGAAACTCAAACAGGTTTAGAACAAGCTGAGTGTGAGTAAATTATGACAGAATTGGTTTTTGGGTAAACTATCCCTTTAAGATAAGATTTTTACATCATTCCACAGGTGCCCTCCTGTTGTTACTTACCCTGTGCAATAAAGTTCTTCTCAAATTTCTGTAAGAACTCCAAGTACAACAAATCATCCGATGTCAGTGCTTCTTCCCCAACCACGGCCTTCATTGCTTGCACATCTTTCCCGATAGCATAGCAAGCATACTGCAAAAGAGGAGATGTCCATACACAATTAACTCAAAACATTAGATAAATAAAATAAACATTTGCATGAAAGAGACCAAGTGCTTTGGTCATAATACAGGTGTTGTTCTTTCTCCGTTTCTTTACAATTTACAATATCATTCAACTGTTTGGGATAGAAAGTTTATATATTTATTTTTTGAAATCATTTTTATTTATTTATTTAGCAAGGATGCATTAAACGGTTCAAAGGGGGAAAAAGACTCCTCAAAACATTTCTATTTCAAATAAATGCTGTTCTTTTCGATCATTCTATTCATCAAAGGATCCTGGAAAAACTGTTTTTAACATAATAATAAATGTTTCTTGAGCATTAAATAAGCACATTAGAATGATTTCTGAAGGCAAATGTGAAACTGAAGTCTGAAGTAATGATGCTAAAAATTCAGCTTTGTCATCACATACACAAATTACAATTTATGATATTAAAATAGAAAACAGGCATTTTAAATGTAAATAATATTTAAAAAAATTTCTGTTTTCACTGTATTTTTCATCAAATAAATGCAGTCTTGGTGAGTATAAGAGACTTCTTTCAAAAAATATTACAAACCCCAAACTTCTGAACAGTATTGTATGTTCATCCATACTTACCAACTGATTAGAAACATCTGAGTGGTCTTTGCGTGTCATTCCCTCGCCAATGGCTGATTTCATCAATCGAGACAAAGAAGGTAGTACATTGATAGGAGGATAGATCTGGATAGAAATATCAATAGTTGGTATAAAACAGCACATGAGATTTATTAAAGTGTTAGTTCACCCAAAAATGAAAATTCTGTCATCGTTTACTTAAACTCGTGTTGTTCCAAACCACTAAGACTATTGTTCATCTTCGGAACACAAATGAAGATATTTTTACTACAATCTGAGTGTTTTCTGTCCCTCCATTGACAGCTACGCAACTACCACTTTGACTCTTCAAAAAGTTCATAAAAGAAAGGCAAAACTAATTCATATGAATTGAGTGGTTTGGTCCAAATTTTCTGAAGAGACACGATCGCTTTATATGATGAACAGATTGAATTTAGGCTTTTATTCACATTTAAACATTCATCAACTCACACATCAGTTTTGGTAAACGGAAGCTCAAGCATGTTCTGTTACACAGCACGTTTGAGCTTCGACTAAACCACTCAATTCATATGGATAAGTTTTACAATCTCTTTATGGATTGTTGAAGCGTCAAAGTGGTAGTTGCGTAGCTGTCAATGGAGAGTACAGAAAGCTCTCAGATTTTAGTAAAAATATCTTAATTTGTGTTACGAAGCTGAACGAAAGTCTTACGGGTTTGGAACAACACGAGGGTGTGTAAATGATGACAGAATTTTCATTTTTGGGTGAACTAACCCTTTAATGAAGTATTCAACTAATGTTCACACTGTAAGCTTGTTTCCATCACTTGCCTGTCTGTTATGAAGCTGTCTGTCCACATAAATTTGACCCTCAGTGATGTAGCCAGTTAAATCCGGAATAGGATGGGTAATATCTGCAGATAATAGTAAGCAAACCATTAAAGTAGTAAGCAAACCATTTATGATGATATAAAGATTAAAAGATGAGTAGGTAGATGTTTGCTGACCATCGTTGGGCATAGTGAGGATTGGGATTTGGGTGATGGAGCCATTGCGTCCCTCCACACGTCCGGCCCTCTCGTATATCGTGGCCAGATCGGTGTACATGTAACCTGGGAAACCACGTCGACCAGGAACCTCTTCTCTAGCCGCAGAGACCTTCAAGACGATGATAGAGTTTAATGCATAGCAATGAGTAGCAAGTTTAGAATTAATCCTAACGGCTGTCAGTATAAATTCACATATTATATCATACCTCTCGTAAAGCCTCGGCGTAAGAGCTCATGTCAGTCAATATGACCAGTACGTGTTTCTCACACTGGTAAGCCAGAAACTCAGCTGCGGTCAGTGCAAGCCGAGGGGTGATGATGCGTTCAATCCTGCAACAGGTAAATCAAACTTTTTGGTCCAAGTTGCTCCAAAAAAAAAAAATATATATATATATGAGTCTTATCATGTACTCACATTCATGTTGTTCCAAACCTGCATGACATTTTTAAGGATTGTACTAATTACTCTTCTTGCATTCATTTAGTTTTGGTCTACTTGGAATCATTTAGAACACAAGTCATATAGAATGACATGAGGGTGAGTAAATGATGACAGAATTTCATTTTTGGGTGAACTATCCCTTTACTTTCAAGAATATTCGAGAGAATACTGACGTGGGATCATTGGCCAAATTTAAAAAGAGGCACACGTTGTCCATGGACCCGTTCTCTTCAAAATCGGACTTAAAAAATCTTGCAGTCTCCATGTTGACCTAAAGATAAAACTAATGTCATGAAGATATCCCACTGGTATGGATGCATTTATTTAGATTAAAAACTTTTAATCCGAAGTGCTCCTCACCCCCATGGCAGCAAACACAATGGCAAAGTTATCCTCACTGTAATCCATCACATCTTTGGATTTCTTCACCAATCCCGCCTGACGACAGATCTGTGCAGCAATCTGGGAAAAGAAGAAGAAGAAAATAATAATAATAATCAAGGATCAATTGTTAGGTAACTACATTAGACTTAAATTAAAATTGGCATTTTTTGGGTAAGGAGAAGCAGTCAAGCATGAGAAGTGGACAGCAGCGTGTAAGTGTATTTGTTTTTGATTTAAGCACAGTTGTTGTTGCTAGGAAACATTGTTTTGTTTACTGTATCCACCTTATTACTGACGACCTTACTGCGTTTTGAATTATGGGTGGCACTTCCGGTTTGGGGAACTTCCATTCAAAAAGACTGAAACGAATCATTTCAAATCATAAGGTTGCCCTACAAATAAAGCTGAACCGTCAGTTTGACTGGATGAGCTGTCAATTTTCCTTTATGATTTATTTTTAGACATCATGAGAATAACGTTATACTTGGCATTTTAACGTGACATGTTATAACAAGAATATCTATGGCAAGAGCTCTTTTCAGTCGCTGCTTTCTTTTCCTCATGATGATTTTTATTTTTTCCTTTACAATCCGCTGTAAAAGTATGAAAAAGGACAACATATACGGCACATTTGTGGTCTGTTCTCCCGAATTTAATTTACGATATTCCATTAATAATTCACTGGAATGCACGAAGAATCTCGTTATTCTACTCAAATCCTCACGTCTCTTTCCAGGTTTGTTTTCACGGGTAAAAGCAATTTATAATCTGTCAAAATGACGAAAATCACTTTGATATAGTGTCACGTAATGCTGATGAACATTTTTGATTACCGGTTGGCTTCTATACAATACATTTGCCTACAGTGATAATAAGACTCGCGCTTTTGGGGCTATTTTTGTCTGTTGAAAGTACCTCGTTGATTCTTTTAAACTTTTAAATTTCATTTTAATGTGGTTGAAGGGTGAGTCGATTAATGTCATCTCATTGTGACACTTTTTTAGCGTTCATAGAGCAAGCCTTTCACTGATTGTTTACAGCTTAACGGAAGTTACACCCATAATTCGTGCAAAGCGTCATGGGGCGTAGGAATAAGGTGGATACTGGTAAACTGTGTTTACCATTTGTTCTCATGCCATGTCGTGTGGTTTTTCAGTTTCATTCAGAAGGTGTTGCCAACTAAATTCAATAATATTTCAGGCAGGTACAGAAATAGAAATCTTTTGTAACATTATTCATGTATTCAAGGTCACTTTAATATATTTAATGTATCTTTGCTGTATAAAAGTATTCATTTCTTTCAAGAAAAACCCCAAAGAAGATGGACTGACAGCGGCCTCACCTCATTGTGGGGTAGACCAGCCGCAGAGAAAATGGGAATTTTTTGTCCTCTGGCAATACTGTTCATGCCATCAATGGCAGAGATGCCGGTCTGGATCATTTCCTCAGGATAAATACGACACTGAGGATTAATCGGCTGACCTGCAGGAAGCAGGAGGGAATTTGATGGAACATTTTTCATCAATATATATAAAAAAAAAACACTTATGACAATGTACTATGAGCATAACAGCTCATGTGGTGCATCACAGCCTCATTGAAATGTACCCATGATGTCTAAGTAGTCCTCCGCCAACACTGTAGGCCCTCGATCAATCGGCTTTCCTGATCCGTTGAACACACGACCTGTAATAGACTTCAAGTTTAACCAAATACACATAATAAAAAACATCACATGGCTTCAGAGTGCCTCTTTTTTATTATTACCCAGCATATCCTCGGACACAGGTGTACGCAAAATGTCCCCTGTAAATTCACATGTGGTTTTTTTGGCATCAATACCAGATGTTCCCTCAAACACCTAAAAATGAAATGATGAGATACTACAGATCAGATTACAAAATGGTGGGAAAAAGTAAAAATGTAGGTCTATTTCAGAAGTGTTATTCCCTGACCTGAACCACAGCTTTGGAGCCCGTGACCTCCAGCACTTGTCCGCTCCTCTTGGTGCCATCAGGGAGCGTCAGATGGACGATCTCAGCATACCTGGGGAACTGTCCCAGCCAGGTAACCAGTTAACATTGCATCAAAAACATCAATGTGTGATACAGTACTTTCCAAACAAATTAGCTGATGTTTGCAGAAATCCAATACCTTCACTTGATCCAAAATCACCAGGGGTCCATTAACACCAGCCACGGTTTTATACGCTGAGCACACAATAAACATGAATGTCACAACACAAGAGTGTTTTCATAGTCTAGATCGAATCACAAACACAACTAAGGTACGCAAATTCAGCATACAGATTTTCTTCATGTAATTAAGAGAAAAGCCTTAAGCACTGCATTAAGGAAAACAAATACAGTAAAAAATAAAACACATCACCTGATAAAATATGACATCATGCTATGGTCAAAGTGTCTTAAAAAGAAAAATAAAGAAAACAAATGAGAGTGTGTTATTAATATTATATGAAAACATAAATAACAGATATAAATAACAAACACAAACATGCTCAGAATAAGACAATAAAAGGGCATGATGCCTTAGAAATGTGTTATTAAGAAATAATTATATATCTTAACTAAAACAACTTAAACTTGAGTAGGGAATGAACATGTTTAAATTTTGTTTTTTAAAGCTCCTTGCATGTTTTGACCATCAATGCATCTGATGATGCTGTCATCTATGGCAAGCCAATTTAACATTATTCCTCACAACTAACTATTTCTATTTTTAGTACTTATTTAGCCTAATTTCTAGTAAAAAACTAAAAAAACAATTAGTAACCAGTAGGGGTATATGAAATTTACAAAAAATGATATCAACATTTTCTGGGATTTCATTGATAACGATAATTAGACGATATTTTGCTCAGTGTGTTTATTGTGTTGGCACCTTGTCCGGTTTAGAACTGCCGTGGACAGCTGACTCCTAAAGTCTTGGATATTGGTCTGTTCGCAGTAGTGACAGAAATGATCTTTTCAAATAAGTTTAAATAGATTTTTACCTTTGATAGGTATTTTTACCTTTGTAAAGATTTTTTTTAACCTAATTAAATGTACGCATCATCTTTTGTCGCATTCTTACATTTGATCAATAAATTAAATTAGAATAATGAGACACAATAGGGCTTTTACCATAGACTGTAAAAAAATATGGATGTCACCCGTAGGTTTCTGAAGAGCATTTTTGAAGCCCAAAGTGGGCGGGGCCGGCCGTCGCCATCTTGGTAGCATGTCACCACTAGTCACTCCCGGATCAACGAAAATGAGCAAAGAGGCTGGATTAGCTGAGCTGACATGACGGCTAACAGACAGCAGACAAACGGCTAGCAGTGACAGCAGTGGCAATCCATCAGTCACTCAGGTGGCCACGCCCTTAATTATGCAGAACTTTAAGGCTTAATATAATTTAAACGGATGAGTTATAAAAGAATTCACCCCCCTCACAGTTGTCATGAAGGGCAAAATTAGCTATTTAAACCAAAAACACTTTTTGCACCAGGCTGTAAACAGATTTTTTTTCTGCTGTAAAGTTGGGCATATTAGGGGGTCTATGGGATTGACTCTAGCCTGTCTCTAGCGGCCAGTTGATGAATTGCAGTTTAAGTCACTTCCGAAACTGAATAGAGGCATTCTAAGTGCATTTTAATAGACTAAATCATACAGCGAAAGCGTGCACTCTAAATGCACAAGCACACTAGTCTAACCGACTAGACTACATCACGTAGTGTTAGTGTATGCGTGCACTCTCTTGGTGTGTTTTTGAAAAGTGAGGAACATACTAATGTCAGATCGCACATCATTAAAACAACAATCGCGATATTATTGTAGACGGTATATATCGCACACACTAGTAGGGGTTGAACTTTAAGCTTGACGTCGACTGTCGCTGATCATTCGTGGCCTACAGAGGGCGCAACAGGATAATACATTTTTGAAGTCCACTTTTAAGCTCTGTGTCAGTTAAAATGACAAATAAATGCATACTCAGAGAGCGCTCCACAAGATATATTTCATTATACCATCTGGATGCTCAAAATTGATCGCGTGAACCCACTATGTTTTGTTCACATGCTCTGATAATAACAGCTTTGTAGGACTTTACATTATTTGGATAACTGGTCAAAAATAATTCTGATAAATCAAAATTGTGTTGCATAGAACTGAAAAAAGAATAATATATGGTTTCATTATTAATATTAATATAATATAAATTAATATAAATATTAATATATTTCCAGTCTAATTTTAGTGTTAGTTTCAATAAAAGTGTGGTTATTTTGTTTTATTGTCTTGTATTTCTTAAAATCAGTTTTTGGCCAAGTGTATCCAGAATTTTCAGTTTCTACCCAGAGTTTTCATTTCCGAGCATCCCTACGATTACTTATTTTAAATGTCACTTTCAGTGTAACCCTATTTTTTACTTGGTATTGTACATAATATAAAAAAATAAAATGTATAATAAAAATAGGCCCATATGATTTAATTTATTGATGTGAAAAATAATATTTCTATAATTACTCATTTAAAAAAAAAAATATATATATATTATATTATATAACTGAAATATAATTTTCCTTATTTGGATGGTAACTATTCAGTAGGTAAAAGTTGTTATAAGTTATTCTGGAAGTAATGAAAAAAGAACTAGAAACAAAAATAAATACTAGTTAAGGAATAGTCTAAATGCTGAACCAGCTTGCCACTCCATCACGATGCAGAATTGCAGATCCTACACGCATCAACCTAAATCCTGCATCATGTTGATTTATTAACATCTAATGTGATGAAAATCCAACCAATCATTCATTTAATTTTTTAGATCATGCACTTAGAGTTAAACAATATGCATGAACAGGGAATATACCCTTTATTTAGTAAACTAACCCTAGATTATTTACCTGACTGCAAAACGTTATCATAAATGTACAACATCAGAAATGTTCAAATGTTATAAGTCTACAGTTGAAAATAACATGATGATTAGCAGATTCAGTGGAAGTTAAATACAAAACATGTCATTCATTCGTTGCGCCATACACACATCATTGTATCGCTCTAGTGGGGTTCTGTTTGTATGGGCCCCCCTTCATAGTCAGCATTGGACACTCACTCAATCTCGGCTGAGAAATGTAGTCACGAGTCACGGCAAGGACATTTTCCCGAACGGCGACGTGTTTGGTCCCGGTAACCGCAGATGATATTTCGCTGACAGCTCCACTCACCATTCCCCTAAGAGCCTTCATGATGACTATAATACTCAAAAATCACTACAGGTCTGAAGCTAAGCTTGTGACAACACGGCGGCACATGCGCAATAATGCTTATGTGTTTCTTTCCCCTCCCCTTTTCAAAATCGACGCAGTGGACGACGACGCCCTCTAGAGGTGTATGAGTGGTTAACACGATAACCCATAACGGTATAAAAACAGTATAACATTTTCTCTAGATATTACAATATATTATTAGAATAACAATGTGAGTAAAAAGTTGAACTGAACATTCTGAAAAATGTCCTTAATAGGACTAACAGAAACGGCTGAAGAACAATTATTTTGATTGCACTTTATTTTACAGTACGTGTACTTATAGTATACTTACCTAAGAAAGTACTGGGTTAGTACCTTATTACACAGTTATTATAATTACTATAAGTACATAGTATGTATATGGGGAACAGGACTGTAAAATAAAGTGCTACTATTATTTTTTTATGGTCATCCTTCTTGTAAAAATAAAATAAAAATAAAAAACATAAAAAAATAACTCATTCAAATGCATTTCAGTAACATATTTAGGACAAATAAGTAGAGACAAAACAACAGCAAAAGACATTTTTTTTACCAAATTTAAAAAAGCACTTAAAAATAAAGAGAATGATGTCAATTTAAAAAAAAAAGGTTTTCTTTTACATTTAAATTCATTTTTAATGTCATTTTTGTCATTAACATCAACGTCCAAATCTCATATAAAACCATGACATTTATTTAAAAGAAATACATTATCTTAACAAAAAAGAGAAAAAAAGCAACAATGGACACCTCACCATGCATCATTAATCTGAGGAATAATGTATCCTTCTCTCATATTAAACTTTATTACATTGAATGCTACACAATTACAAGACATAACATTTTGGTTCCATATTGTATCATGACAGAAAGAAATGGGGTTCTATATAGAACCCTAGGATTCATGACTCAATTTTAAAGAACAGTTCATGCCAAAAAGGTAAGGAGAAACATCATAAATGATTGCATAATACTTTCATGATTAACAGGTTATTTAATTTCTTTCTTGTGATAAAGTGTGTTTCTAATTCATAACATTTTATCAAAATAAAAATATTTTTTTAAATAAAAACAAAATTTATTTAATTAAATCTAAATCCATAAAATGATCACATAATGGGAACCTCTAAAAGGTAATAAGAGTAATCCTTTAAGGTCCTTTAAAGAACCTTTTCTTCTAAGAGTGAAATAAAAGGTCACCTGAGTCAATATACATAATCAATCCTTCTTCCAAAACGTGTTTTCGTCTTACCGTTATTCACTAAGGTGAGTCTATTATAAGTGTTTATCTTTCAGACTTGACAGGATGGTTTTCGCTGGAACTTGCGTACAAACGACACTTGCCCTTTCTTGTCTCGTCACATCAGTAAATAGAGAAAAGTTGCTCCTGCTACTCTGGGTGCTTCTCAATCTGAAGGCCGTGTCCTAGTAAGGCTGCATACTGTACCTTGGCTGCCACTACATCAGCCATGTGCACTAAACCGTCTCATTCTAGCGTTCAATGCTGAGGAGGACTCAGTGTATTTCTACGGAATTAGGCTACTTACCGGGGGGACGCAATTGGGCTAGTTTCTATTAGCAATTAGGTGGGCTTTGTTGTGCAGACCTGGAAACCCTGACTCTAGCCTACAAGCCTCAAAAGGACTGGACTAGGAAGGACAAGGCCTCACTAGGATGCAGCTTTCCGTTTGAGAAGCACCCTTTGATGCGTGTATGGTGTGGGAGTGGCATAGGTTCGTTGTCGTAATTAGCGAGAAAGCTTGACATGGAGTCGCTAAATCTCGAACCTCCGGGGAATCACCCATTTAAAAAAAAAAAACGTGAGAAAAAAGAGAACGTGACAGAGCTGGTAATAAAATGAGAATCAACATTGGCTTTTCAGAGATTGCGAGAACTGAGGGATTTGAAATGTTGTAAAAAAGACACAGAGATGGCGTTTTTATTACTCAACAGGCGAGTAAGGTATTTTATTGAACAGAAAAACTCCCATATGTAGCTCTCTAACAGTTCATTGTAAAGCATTTTCTATTGTGAAAGGTCATATTCACCCGAAGCACAACCGAAACGATGTTCTTCCGCAAAATGCGTCCATTTTTGTTTTTTAACCTCTACAGAGCAAAAAGTTACATATTGTACCTTTAACTGTAAACCAATGGCAATCTACAGTATAATATAAGTATGAATCCTCATACAGCATAGCCAAATCTGCTGTCATACTTTGCAGTGCTGTTGCTGGTGTTAGTAGAGGGTGGATGCTCAGTTTGGGTTTGGCCCACCTGGCTGTAGGCCACACCTGAACGGAAGCTGGAGATTCGGCTGGTAGGACGGCTCTCAGGCGCAGGAGCATCCTCTCTTTAAAGACAGAAAGAAAACAGAGCCAGAATGTCTTGTTATCATCATCAAACTTCACATGATTGATGGAAATGGAGGGATTCATGGAGGAAAATATCACCTAATCTCATTGGAGAAATCTTTCTCCTGTCGATTCCTGTTACATCTGAAGACGAGAAGCCATATAATGAGCAGGACGATCATGATGAGGAGTAAACACCCAACAACGGTGCCTGTGATGACCCCCGCTCTGTTAGGAGCTGTGAAAGATTACGATTTTTAAGACTGACCATTATGAATAATCAGTTAGCATCAAATCACTGGAGTGTGTCTATGCGCTTCACATACGCTTCACAGCTTGAAGGTTAAGCCGACAGCTCTCTTTCCCAACAGAATTGGAAACTTCGCAGGAATAGACACCGGAATGGCTTACGGAGTGGTTACTGATTAGAAGTTCTCCTGTGAGGGAGTCTAATGTATAGAGAGAACAAAAAACATGCTTTTCCTCCTGTATGTTAATATAAATAGGTACAAATCCTCCACAGAAATGAATTGACAATACATAATAATAACAATAATGACAATTAAACTTTTTTTAACTACATTTCTTTAATGCTCTATATGGATTTTAGTTATAAATAAAATAACTGTTAGGTTTTTCTCAGATCCGATTTGATTTTATTACCAATTAATTTACTTAAAACACTTTAACAGTGTTTGAAATTAATATATTATATAAGTCTCATCACTTCACTTTTGCATTTAAAAAAAAAAAAACTAAAAAACTTCTGCACACTTTTAAAAATAAAGGTTTAAAAAGGGTATTTTTCCACAACAATGCAATAGAAGAACCATTCTTGACTTCCTTAAGAACCTTTTAGTGATCAGTTCTTAAAATAACCATTTTTTAAAAGAACATTTTAATCTGAAAAACATCGTTCCACTATAAAGAACCTTTTTGTGGAATGGAAAGTTTCCATGGAAGGATTTTTAAGGGTGTATTGGGCCCTTAAATAAATAGCTAAATAAGCCATGATACAGTAAATTGTATTGGCTCCACATTGTTTTGCAAAAGCCATAATTTATATATCAAAATAAAAGACGTAATTTAGCTATCAAAGTGATGGTTTGCATACTATTTTAGGGAGTCAAAACGGTTTAGAATCACTGATGGAAAAGCAACATTTCATTACAATACATTACCACCAGAGGTAGCACTAACTCTGAATGGCGTCTTGAGGAATGGGACCTCCGCTCTCTCTCCTCCATGAATACAGCAGAGGAGCAGAGCCTTGATCCGATCTGCAGCGGAGAGATGCTGTCTCACCCACGGCTTCGCCAGCATCAACCCAACACTTCGGCACGGACGGCCTCACTACCACACAGAGAGTCAAAACACTGTTATTCTCCCATAGAAATTCAAGACTGTTTGAATTATTGCATTGTGCAGATCTGTAGGGAGCCGAAAGCACTGCTGAGAAATGGTGCATGGCTATTTTCCTCAAAGACTCTTCTATTCAAAGTAATCCTTTCAAAATCGAGGAAAAATCCAATTTTGAACAATAAGTCTTAAACCAGAAGAACTTGGGAACTTTTGTTGGAGGTAAAACAAATAAAATTAAAAGGCCTATTTGTTTTTTTGTTGAGTATTATGTTGAGATAGGCTCATACATTAGGCTATGAAATGAGAATATGGAGTTCATACTCAAAGAGGAAAAAACATCTGTTTTATTTAGAGGCCCAGACTGAGCATACATATGCAATTCGGTGCATATGCTGATATTTCTATGGCCAAAAAGTAACATGATGAATTATAGTGTGTAATGTAAATCAATGAAATCTGTATAACAGTATAGCAGACTATAGATAAAATGCATATACATAATCAGTTATCTCCACAATAATGTGTTATAAGATTATATTTAAATGCTTAGTTTTATGATCAAATCTCTGTATTTTTTCATTGTGGGGGGAAAAGGCATATAATGCAATGCAATAAATTGATGATTGAAAGATCAGATGCCTGATGCATCATATTTGATACTCACAATTTAATGTGAATTTAATGTAGGGATTATGGATAATGGACAAAGTTGCATTAAATTGCGTTATACATTACCCCTAATCCCATAAATATTTTTTTTATCAAAATAACTTCCCCTCACTCTTGCAGCGACATCTCTACTCTTCTTTGATGACGTGTTTACTGATGCAAGAGAGAGACAACCTGTCAATCATATGAGATCGACCAATAGCAAACTACAACCATCAAATCAATTCCACATGGACAAAATCAAGCCCCAGCCTACATTTTTTCTTGCTCGAGAAGCCGTTTCACTCGGATATACGTCACAATAGAAAGATTATGGAAGCAACTTCTGTTTAATGGCGTCTTTAAAGATTCCTCATAGAAAAGCTCTGTGAAGTATTCAAAGACTGGAAATACATGACATTACCCATCACAATCAGAGATATTTTCCGACTGTCCACCCCAGGTGCCTTTTTAACTTTGCACTGATACGTTCCAGCATGACTGACCATCAGCGAGGTGATAGATAGAGATGCATCTCCCTGGGCAGGGTCAACAGCTGTGAAGTTCACACCTTTCATTAAAGCAGGGTCACCATGGGTATATCTCCTTCCACCTGTATATGATATGATCTAATAGACAACAAATTTAAATAACAGTTCAAATTGATAGTTGTTTTTCAACACATATGTAAATCATCAGTAAGAGTCTGGTCAAAGCAAGTGCCTATAGGGAGATTATATTTCACTGATATAAGCAGATCCTTACGCACCATCTGGTCTTTTTTTGTGGTGTCTGGACTGACAACTGACCACTCAATGTCAAGCTCGCCGATGTCTGCTGGACTTGAGGTGTAGGTGCAGTCTAGTGTAACAGGTTCCCCTTGAGCCATCTGCATAGTCTGTGGTCCACTGGAGGTCACTTTCATCGCTACTGACACATCTGCAAAAGATTGATGTGCATCTGCTTGCAAAATTCTCTGTAGAGATGTTTAGTCATGACGTCAATGACTATGCCAACCTAGAAGGCTTATCGATATCAGCTTCTCTTCATAATGAATTGGATTTTTTTTTTATGAGTAAAAAGGCTGTTTAACTACTTGAAGAAATGTTCATGTTTTGTTAAATATTATTATTATGAAAACCCAAATCCGCCAAATTTACCTTTGGTAAATCATAATTATGAGATAAAAAGTAATTATCATGACGTTAAAGGTCGAAATTATGAGATACTAAATCATAACTATGAGATAAAGATCAAAATATGAGATAAAATTTCATAATCATGACAAGACAACTTACAAGATAAAAGGTTATTATTATGACATAGAATTATGAGATAAAAAGTCATAATTATGATGTAAAAAGTTGAAATGATGAGACACTAAGCCATAATTATTATGTTATGTTATTATATTAAGTCATTATCATGACAAGTTAAAATTATGAGATAAAAAGTCATAGTTATGACATAAACATCCTAATCATGACAAGTCAGAATTTTAAGATATAATCATAATTATGACACTAAAATCAGAATTATGAGATAAAAGTCAAAACAATTATATAAAAAGTCATGGCAAATAACTTTGGAATTGTGGCATAAAAAGTCATAATTATTACATTAAAAATCTAATTATAATTGTACAATTTTATTTGACTTTTATATCATAATTATAACTTAGAATCTCATAATTGCAACTTTTTATGTTTTAATTATAACTGACAAAAGAATGATTTTGTTTTTCTCATGTGACAGAAATGGGCATATATTACATTTCACAGTCACCTCACATCACATATGATTATACAACTATATCTACAGTATAATGACTACAAGGTAACCGTACATCTTTGTTGTAGTTGTAGTCCTTATTTAGCAACTTGTTATCAACTTAGCACACAATGGTTCCAGGATTCTATTTTAGATGACTGTGTAATTTTTGTTGTAGAACATGACTTTATTTGACACATTAATTGAAAACTACTATTCTAATTTCAGAGGGAATCCGTGGACTGAAAATGAAAACTCTGTCACTTTAGAACTACAAACTGATTACAAATGTTTTGAGACTGTAAATATAGAATTTGGTCAACAAACTACAAAGACACTTTTCTTTGAACTATGATATATTAAAGCATCAAACTTAATTGAAAATGAAATAAGTTATGAGAATTACTAGTCTTTTTAATTATTCTGTTCTTTCTAGGTCATTCAGCTTTTTTTCTTTGTCATTTAAAGTCTAAGGATGATTATTTTCAATTAGCCTGTAATTCCAAAAATCCTGGTTTCATACTGAAGTTCCATCCTGGTGCTCCCTCATAAATGATTCATATGGACTCATATAATGAAACTCTCCAAATGACTAATATCTGGATTTTGTCCAGATGCTTGTGAATAAATCCCATCATACATCCATGCCTTGGATGAAGGAAAACTTTCAGGCCTAATTGAAGAACTTTAGCAGGGTTGTGAGCAGAATGCCATATTATCTGGTCTAGTAGCTACAAATTGTGCTGGAAATCAAGTTTGAAAGTTTTTGCCAAGAAACTTACTTGCATTGAGAAACACGGCGAGCACAGTCAATATCACAAATGAGGACAACGGGGACAAACTTCTTCGTCTAACACAAGGCCATTTTAGACATCTGTGAGAGATGAAAGTAAAAAGAGAGTTAAAGCTAGAGGAGAGGAGCATGACTGAAAGAGATTTGAGGAAGATAATGAGCATGTCTTGCTGGGTACCATATTTTGAACTTTCAGTTCTAACATACAGTACCTTGTGTTGCAGCAGCAGTTTTGTACATTCATGTTTGTACACGCTTTTTTGTGCCACTTCCTCCCATTCAGCTGAGTGAAGTTTTTAAGACACACGCTTAAGCCTAGAAATGAAAAGAGACTGCAAAAAGGAACGATATTTTACACCAGTAAATTGTTCGGTCTTTGCTATTTTAGTAACATTTTACAATAACGTCCCATTAGTTAACATTAGTTTATGGATTAACTAACATTAACTAAAAAATAAGCAAGATATTTGTTTCTGTCACGAGTGGTTGCAGGAAGGCAGATGAAGATGAACTTGCAACACGTAATTAAATGAAAGATCACGAAGGGTAAACAGCTAAAAAAACACACACTAAAAGCAACGTAGACATGAGAATGAATATGAGGGACTAACTTATATAGCAAACACAAATGAGGATGATTAATAGAACACAGCTGACACAAATAAACTAATAATGAGCGGGAAAACTGAACAAAGGAGCATGTGATGGGAATGAAAACAAACTAAAAGTCCATCATAAAGAAACTAAACTGAACATAATGGTGACAGAATGCCCCCTCCCAGTAGGCGCGAACTCGAGTCGTAGTAGCAGAGGTGAGGGAGGGATGGAAGGGGATTCGGAAGTGGACGAGGAGGTGGCAAAGGAGTGGTGACAGGAGACGGTGACAGAGGATTGATGGGTGGATGACGATCCCCTGGCGGCGATGATGGCAATAGTCCACAGGCACAGACCCAGAGCTATCCAGTGCCGACAGCCGACGGCGGAGTCAAGGGAGGGAGGAGCCAAGGTGGTGTAGTGGCTGACGACAGCTGGGGGATGACCGCGGGAGACGCGGCCGATGGATCCACAGGAGCAGACGGAGAGCCGATGGAATCGAGCGACATCACTGGCTCTGAAGACCAAGGCGATGCCATGGCGACGAACGTCTGAGGAGGAGCCAGAGTACCTGACGGCTGAGGTGGAGCCGGTGTGATGGAGGACAGAGGCGACGCTGAGGGGAAGGAGGAACCAGCTGCAGCCTTAGGGGTGGAGAGACGGAGTGCAGTGGACGGCCTGCAAGTCCGTTGCGGAAGTGGTGTGAAGACTGATCAAGGGGGAGCCGGCAGGACGAGGGAACCCGGTGGAGCCCAAGGTGGGAAGAGATAGACGGAGCTGACAGGCCGAGATGGAGAGAAGAGATCTGAGGCCAGAGGCGAAGCCGCAGGATCCTCTCGCACTGACGCTGCTGGTGGTAACATGACCTGCAGCTTGACGTCATAGCAGGGCTTCCACGGAGACGGCGCAGGGCTGTTGACATCCGGCAGTGGCGGGGCTGGAGGACTGGCTGAGCTTCACGGTGATGACAGAAGAAATCTCGACAGAATGATGGTGAGTATGGCACAGTCTATGTCAGGGATGGGCAACTTCAGTCCTGGAGGGCCATTGTCCTACAGAGCTAAACTGTAGGACAGTGGCCCTTCAGGACCGACGTTGCCCATCCCTTGTCTACGTAGGTCGATGAAAATAATAGTTCATAGTTTATACAGTCAATGGTACTGTTCCCAAAACAGCAATGATGAAGGTACCAGGTGGGATAGGGTGGGAGTCGATAATTCCACATTGAAGTCAATCAGCCAGCCAGTCCTCATCGTCTGTAGTCACGACTCCCTCGTCCGCTGATGTCGTGGGCTCACGCCCCTGGTCAGACTCACGATGGAGCTCCACTTCCGGGGCGAGGGTCAGCTCTGTACTCTCCTCCTCAGGCTCTGGCTAATACGTCGCGGGGGTGGGTAGCTCTCCGTCTACAGGGGGAATTCATCACACGAATTCTCCGCGGTCGATGGTGGTGATTCGGGCTCTGGGTCTGGCTGTGTTCTGGATCGTGGAAGGACGCTCTCCAGACACTGGATGATTGCTTCTTTCCAGTTCAAACCGGTAGTGGGAGGTCAACTGGATGATGATAGTTCGCCCCGATCCAGAACAGTGACTTCAGGGTCTCGTCGTAGAAGGGGCAGGTGATGGCGCGACGGAAAAACTCCTCTGAGAAAGACAAAAAATGTGCCACGGTCGCAAACTTCGCTGCGTTAGATATGGGTTGGTCTTCTGTTATGGGTGGTTGCAGGAAGGCAGATGAAGATGAAGATATAAGTTCCAACATGTAATTTAATGAAGATAACACGAAAGGTAAACAGACAGCCAGGGCAACACACACTAAAAGCAACGTAGACCGAATAGAGAATGACAACACATTCTCATCCTATGGCGTCATATAGTTGACGCCATATGACATTTCGTCGAAATCTTACGCACATGGCATCCTTTAGCGTCAATATAACACGCACTGTTATGGGTAGGTTTAGGTCTGGGGTAGGGTTACGGTTATGACGCCTTGGGATCTGCGTCTCATATTGACGCTAAAGGATGCCATGTGCGTCGGATTTAGACGAAATGTCAAAAGTGTCACCTGTATGACGCCTTGGGTTCTGCGTCTTATATTGACGCTAAAGGATGCCATGTGCGTAAGATTTCGACGAAATGTCAAAAGCGTCACATGTATGACGCCTTGGGATGAGAACGGGCTGAGAATCAATGTGAGGGACCAACTTATATAGCTAACACAAACGAGGATGATTGAAGACATGTCAACTTAAATTACATTAAACTGGCATAAAAAAATGAATCTTGTATAACTTATAAAATAAAGTTGAAAATTGCTTAACTTATTTTGATGAGTTAAAGTAATGTAAAAACATATGTTGTCATGACTTACTGATCATATCATTTTTTACAGTGTATTTGTTGAAGTTTACATCAACTAAGATTAAGAAAAGGATTTGTTTTATTGTTAGTTCATGTAAACTAATGCAGTTAACTAATGTTAAAGCTGCAGTCCGTAGCTTTTTTTGGGTTAAAAATGATCCCAAATACATATTTGAGAAAATACATAACCAGCCAGTGTTCAAAACTATCTGCTTGCCTTAGCTCAATTCAAAGCGGTAAGCCTGTAATAATGTTTTTAATTCCAGTGGTACTGGTGGATTTCCGCGTGAGATTCGAGCATGTCTTTGCGTCATTACGTCACATCTGTACACATAAAGAAGGAGTCTCGGCTAGTAGGCTATATTGCGAGTGAGGATGCTGGAGGTGGAGATTTATAGCCTTTTCTCACAGCACTTGATATAATTAAACTTATCAATTTGATGGCGGATCCAGAAAGGTTCAAACGACAATCACCAGTGACAACAGATTCACCCGCTGTAAAATGCAAAAGACTTCGTTCTGACTTCGGAGTGGCTAACTTACAGAAAAAAGAGACTGCAACCGGCCCATGCGAAAACAAGGAAGGATACATATCGGAAGGACATTACATGTAGGCCTAGTCACGCAATGCTTGCTTACGTTGTTAACATTAACAATTTGAGAACAAAGTATAATTTGCACGGTTTTGCTTGATATGATAACTTATGAGCGATTGTTGGCAACAGATGGCAACAAAGAGGAAAAACGCCGAACTGCAGCTTTAACAAATGGAACATTATTGTAAAGTGTTACTATTTTATTACATTTTTAAGCATTAAAATATTTTTAGTGTCACTTTACTAGCGGATGTCACCAAAATGCCTCAAAATTACTCATCCCAAAATTAGTAATTCCCACTTGTTATAAGCAATTCAATGGTAGTCTATAATTATAATGCATATAAATAAAAAATAGGACACAAAACCTGGAAAATATTACAACTGTAGCAAAAAGTCAAAAATACGCACCTGTTGTGACCCGAAGACATTACCAGCATGAAAAGTTTCTTATCTACTTCCCTGCTGAGAGAGAAAAAACACATCTTTGTTGTTTTTCTTTTTGTAACGCACTCCATTCTTCCTCCTACACTATTTTGAGAGCCTGTAACCTCATTGTTCACCAAAATCTATCCTGTACCATGCATTATACAACACAAGACGAAACATTTTGGCTGCTTTTATGCTGATCGACTGGAATAACTGGTTCCTCTGCATGTTCATCTGAGCAGGAAAATAGGCCATGAAAACATGGATAAAATGGAATTATTTATAGAAACTTACAGATGGAGGGCCAGTTCATCTCTGTGCTTTAGTCCTCATGCACGTCCCCTTCTGAATGGCTCCACTGTGAGAAAACAAGTCACTGCTGGTATCAAGTGAAGGTGGTGCCATGGTGATGTGGTCCACGGAGACTGGTCTCAGGTGACAACTGGTTACTCCACTCAGAAAAACAAAGGACACAATAATAAGTTATTATAACTGTTCAGTATACACATGCAGGGCATTTTTTATTTTATCGAAAATAAACAGTTTTTCTTTTCTTGCTATGCCTTTTCACCAAGCTATGCAGTGGAAGTCCATCTAAAGGTGATTCTTTCACAATGAACAGTGAGGCTCCACACATCTTCATGAATAGGCCACTGCAACCTTATCTTTAAGACATATACATGCTTGAATATAATGAGAAGAGAACCATTAACATAATTTAAATGGTGAACGATTACTTACATTTAAGACATTTAACAGCTGCTCCAGCTTCACATGTGAGGCTGCTATAGTCAACAGATGGCAGTTATGCAATTCAGAAAGACAGATGGGAAATTAAATGTTTCCTAAAGAAATACAAATAAACAAGACACATTTTCCCCCCAGTTAGCCCAATTCTAATCATTTGGGCTATGGATAAAATGGCTATATAGTTAAAAATGCATGTAGAAAATATTATAGCAAATATGAGCACACATGGTTTCACAAAAGCACATGAGAATGAGATCACAACATTTAGTTCATGACCTGATCACAACTTTTTCTTTCATTTCCATGAAACGCTAAATCCTACTTTATATAGCCTACAGAACTACATTTCTGAACAAATGTTCTGCACGTTTCATGTCTAAATCAACTGAATCAAATTATTATTCAACATGATAAAGCTACATGTATTTAAAATAATACACATTTATATTGTCAGAATTTTTTTTTTACTGTACCCTAAAGGTGCATTTTTTTTGCACATTTTTATCTGAGAGTGTTCTTTACAGTTTCCGTTAGCCAAAATAATGGTTTGATATTCTGTACATGTTGATATTTTTTTGCTTTTGTTTGGTTTGTTTTCTGTTTACATACACATTTCAGTTTACATTGTTTGCAAATGCCATAGTTTGATATTTTGTTGTCTAATGCAACATTCATTTTTTAAATGTGACTTAAGTACAAATACTTTTTGGGAGGTTTTATATACACAGAAAATCCAAGTAGAGAGAATAATCAGTTAAACACAACAAGTGGGAGGTCTGAATGTCTCCCACTGCAGTCAGTGGTCCGCTTTATCAGAGCGAAGTGCCAAGTGCGTTAAGTCATAAAGTCGAACTTTAACCATTCTTGCCTTTGCAGTTTCTCACTGCAGGATAATCGAGGTGTTATATTCGCCTGTGCTACACATTCCCTCGAGCTATTTCATCAAACCGCTGCAGGAATGAGTGAAGATCAGTTTGACGTAGTTGTCGTCGGCGCGGGCCTGTCAGGACTCAGTGCGGCTCGAAGGCTGCAAAAGAGAAACTCGCAACTCAGCGTGTTGGTTCTGGAGGCCAGAGGTGTGTCACTCGCAAGAAAACATACTTTTATCTTAGATATTCTCTTTAATTAACAATACTTGCATATGTCTGCAGTCCACGTGCATAGCTATGGAAAATATGAGCATTTCTTGTTTTCTATTGGCTGCATACAGACCGTGTCGGGGGAAGAACTGTAAGCGAAAAGCTGCCAGCCGCGAATGGCGTTGACCAGTGGGACATGGGGGGACAATGGGTGTCCAGGTAAGCTTTCGATGATTAAGCTTGTGATGATGATTTCATTTTTCAAGGAAAGTTTTTTAAATGTCACTTTGGGTAGAGTAGAGAACTCTTATTTGCCGAGAGAGTGAGGATGAGTGAGGCTCACACTCATTTCCTCCACATAAGAAAACAAAATCATGACATGAAAAAAATCGAAATTATGAGTTATATGTGATGAAAAGGATAAATTATGACAAAAAGTCCAAATTATGACATAAAAAGTCAAAATTCTGAGATAAATTCGAAATTATGACAAACTAAATCATAATTACAAGATTAAAAGTCAGAATTATGAAAAAATCTAAACTTTTATGCCACAATTTTGACTTTTTAAGTCATAATTATGATTTTCTTCTCATGAATATGCGTTAAGTGATAATTCTATCATCTTTTACTCACCCTCAAGTTGTTCCAAACCTGTATTTCTTTCTTCTGCTGAACACAAAAGATATTTTGAAGAATGTCGGTAAGTAAAAAGTTGATGACTTTGATAGTATGGAGAAAGAAAATAAAGACTGTAAGTCAATGGGGCCCATCAACTGTTTGGTTACCCATATTACCCATATGTGTTCAGCAGACGAGAGAAATTCATCAACTTGATGGTATAAAAAAAAATATGACAGAATTTTTCATACAATAAAAACAGAACTATCCCTTTAAAGCTGCAGTAGGGAGTTTTGAGAAAACGTTGATTTAGCCTGAAAATTTGAACAAGCACAACTTACAGGTCCCACCCCCTTGCTCTCTGCTGCGCTACAGCCCTCCCTCCACAGCTCGTCCTCCACAGCGGAGCCTGTCGTGAACGCGCAGGCTAGTAAACAGGGCCACCCATAACGGCGGATAAAAAGTTATATGGCACATTTACTAATAGGGACTAAACGTCAATAATATGCTTTACATTGACTATGGCCTGCCCATACTTTGACTACAAACTTGGTCCTCAAATCATTATGTATTTTCCAATAGCCTACATGTAACTTTATAACGTTGCACTCTTTCTATAAGTTATAAATAGCTAGTAAGATAACGTTAATATAACGGTAACTAACGTTACGTTACAGTATGTAAGTAATTATTCTAGCGATATATAATGCTAGATAAGGTGTGCTAGTACATTATTTCAGCAACATGACAAGCCAGTGAATTAGCAGGTTTCAATGGTTGCTTAGCAGAGTGCGTGACATTTTATCTAACGTTACATGTTATTATCGTCATCAGTCTTTTTCCTTTTACCTCTTTGTTTTATGAGCAGGTGTCACTCGAGAATTGGCAGTTTAGGTTGTTTCTCCGTCATAAGCACAGCTGCAGCACGTCGGCAATCTTGAGTTTGAACCGGTTTGAACGACGGCTCGCGCTCCGGCGCTCGCGCTGTGCAAGAGAGGGGTGTGATCAGCGAGTACACGAGCGTGACTGACACTGCTAAGACACTCCTCTCGGCTCTGATTGGTTGTTTCTGACCGGGAGCGTGTATTTCTTGCAAATGGCAATAGGACCACTGGGAGGAGCCAGAGGAGCTTGATTTTTACACAGATTATCTGTCTTATATTCTACTGTCAGGACATAATGACAGTTTTAGCAAATACATGTTTTCAAAAGTTACCTACAGGAGCTTTAAGGCATATTTATTAGACTTTAAAAAAGTCAAAGTTATGGCACATACCTCATAATCTTTTAATCTAACAATTTTTGTGTCATAATTAAGATTTACCAAAGCATGATTTTTTTTCGTATGTGGCGGAAATGGGCTTCTGTACTTAGTTGCACCAAATAACAAGACAGCACAAAATAAATCACAAAAAAATCCGCTCATGCATGGTCTCCTCTGGTTTTGGTTTCCTCCTGGTGCTTCGATTTCCTAGCCTGGATGCCAGCCGAACTTAGCCCCGCCCACAACATTTGAGGATGGGAAGTTCTGTCTGGACTTGATCCGTTGAGAAGCAAGTATGCCTGAACCATAGCTGTTCGGACCAATCAAATTGTCAGGGCGGGCTTTATACGATGATGGACAGATGATCAACCGTAACGTAATCATCCACGTCACCAAAGAGCGCTTGAGATGAATAGAGAGCCTAAGTCCCTCCCATCCGCGTCCGGCTCATGGGACCTTATTTCAGAAAAAATATGTATGGTAGTCAATGGCAAGAGACATCTTATCTTTTTATTCCATCTGAACTGTGCCCTGAATTACACATATGATGTTTGTCAATTTAAAAGATAATTATGAAAGTCAAGAAAGTCGGTAACATTTAGTTTTATGTGAAAATCGCTCAATGAACTACATCTCCCGGGAAGCGAAACAACGAGCAAGATCCGTTGCTCGTATGTGTGCAGTCTGGTACAAAACACTCAGGCATGGCGGCGTAACGTTACGATTATAACATAAGACTATAGAAAAAATGACAGACGTTAGCTTCAGTAAAGTTAGCTTCATTCATTGAGAGAAAATGTGTGCCTTTTGGGGTTTGTAGTCTTTGTAATTACGTATTTTCAAAGTCTTATACCTCAACAGTTTTACATCACACTGCGACCTTTTTTTACTTTAAAATGTATCTTTTAAATTGACAAACATCATATGTGTAATTCAGGGCACAATTCAAACGAGATCAAAATATTTGTTGTCTCTCGCCATTGACTACCATATAATATTTTTCCGAAATAAGGTCCCATGGTGATCGACTGGAAGGGGAGGGACTTAGGCTCTCTATTCATTTACAACAAAGAATGGCTGCCGCTGGAGAATTTAGATGTGTAGATTCAGCCATTGCGTCTGTTATAGAAGATCTAGACAGCGCATTCATTTTAAAAGAGGAACAGAGAACCGCGATCAAGGCATTTGTCAGAAAGATGTTTTTGCCGTTCTTCCTACGGGATTCGGTCTATCCAATTGAGTGGAGAGGCATTTTTTTCCTGGTTCGGTTGAAACACGCCCCATAATCACAGCCCAATGGAGCAGTATCAGACTCACATTCTGACTAGAATCTGAGTATGAAGACGTCAGGCTACCGATTTCCCCCACAATCCAAAGATATCCAGGTTTGGGGAATTGGAGACACTAAATTGGAGACACTGCGAGTGGGAATGACATTTTTCTGGCTAAAATCAATCTATTTATATTGATATATTATTTATTTATATTGTAATAATAAAATGTATACATTTAAAACACGTGATGCCTTGCCCAACCTGACATTCATTAAAAATAACCTTGTCCTGAGACTACCTTTATTATAAGTTTACTCTTGCTGGAATGTATGTTTAGTGTGGTTGTATTGTGTTGTTTTCTTGTTACCAAGCATATACAGCATGATCATATTGTGAAGAACATAATTTATTTTTAATTTAACATGGTTAAACAACACACATTTGTGTAATTGGACCTTTGATTCAAAACCTCATAGTTACTGACTGAGATATAGCCATTGTGACAACTAACCCCAGTCTCCCTATAGTTTGTTTTCGAGCTGTGATAATTGGAACATCACAAAAGCTTGTTTAAGCCTAAAAGCAGTACAAGTGTGTTTTCAAGCAAGGCATTTTATTCCAGCAATCCACTACCCAAACTATTAGAAAAACACCCAGAGCTACTCTCAGAATCCACAGAGATCAATAAACAGCTGTTGCCTGGGGCTTTGAAAGCCTTCGCTTTAGACGAGGGAAAGCAGGGACTTTCATCAAGTTACATAAAAGCTGATTTGAAGCAGGTTTCCGCCTTTAGACGTCCGAATGTGTGCAGAAACATGGTTTCTCGCAATTTTCTTGATTTTCATTTCTTGTAGCTCACAGACCCATGTCATGGAGCTTATTCGAGAGCTTGGCGTGGAGGTCTTTCCACAATACACAGAGGGGAAGAAGGTGCATCACATGGGCGGCCCACATGCCAAAATCTCAACGTATTCTTCTAGCATCCCATCATACTCCCCGCTGGTCCTGCTGGATTTCACCCAGATTCTTTGGCGGGTAGGAGAAACAGCACAATCTCATCTAACAAAGTGCTGGTCTACAATAGAATAAATCTTTTTTTATTATTATTGAGTAGTAGAATGTGACTAATAGCCATCATTTCATATCTTAATGGATGAATGGATTTTTGTTCCATACGGAATTTAAGATGCATGTTTTCCTTATACGTTCAGCCATGAACATACGCAATAGTTTTTAGATTTCTCAAACATGTATGGATGTATGAAAGCTTTTTAGCTGCTATTCCTAAGACTACCGAGTAGATTCATGTTTTTTTTTTATCTCTTGATGTCATTTTTTACATCATGCTAGTTTTAAACTCAACCATGAGGATAGAAATGTGTTGCTGGTGTTAGGGCTGCACGATATTGGGGGAAAAAACTGTTATTGTGAAATTTGGGTTTTCTGCAATATATATTGTGATGAAAAAGTATAAGAAGTTTCACTTAATGACTTGAACAGCTCTATTTGGAAAACAGGGTTTTTCCTGGGTCAAAAACATGGTCATCCACACACATACAGTACACAAACTGCAAGCCTAGTACTGACAATAAGTCCAAAATAAATGCCAAGAAACAGTTTGTAGAATTAAATAATCTCATCCTATTTATTTGTGAAATAAACAATAACCACTCTCAGGACAGATGATAAAACTAAGTGCTTTATAATATACATGTACAAAAAAGGCCTATTTCTCTCAAATATTGTTCACAAATATGTCTAAATCTGTGTTAGTGAGCACTTCTCCTTTGCCGAGATAATCCATCCACCTCACAGGTGTGGCATATCAAGATGCTGATTAGACAGCATGATTATTGCACAGGTGTGCCTTAAGCCCCGTTCACACTACACGCGACCAAGCGACGCGATACCATTCATTTCAATGGTGAGCGGGCGACTTCCGGCGACACGCGCGACAGCGACCGTTGGCGACTAGATGGGGCGTGTCTGGCGACGCGACAAAGTTGAGAAATTTTTAACTTTATGCAAATGAAGAGCGATTTTCGCGAGCGACAACCAATAGGAGTGGAGCGCACGTGATCCTTCTCCTCAGCCCCTGGGCCTGCAGTGATAGCGACAAGAAAGCTGATTCGCTGTCTTTTGGATGTCATACTAGTCAACCAGTAGTGGGAACGCCCACTAGCGACCTCATCGCCAGCGGCTGGCGACTTGCAGCGACAAAGTCGCGTGTAGTGTGAACGGGGCTTTAGGCTGGCCACAATAAAAGGCCACTCTAAAATGTGCAGTTTTACTGTATTGGGGGGACCCCCCCCCAAAATAAAGGTTGTTGATTGTGGCCTGTGGAATGTTGGTCCACTCCTCTTCAATGGCTGTGTGAAGTTGCTGGATATTGGTAGGACCTGGAACACACTGTTGTATACGCCGATCCAGAGCATCCCAAACACATTCATTCATGCTGACTGCAGGAATGTCCACCAGAGCTGTTGCCCGTGAATTGAATGTTCATTTCTCTATCATAAGCCGCCTCCAAAGGCGTTTCAGAGAATTTGGCAGTACATCCAACCGGCCTCACAACCGCAGAGCTCGTGTAACCACACCAGCCCAGGACATCCACATCATCTTCACCTCCAAGATCGTCTGAGACCAGCCACCCAGACAGCTGCTGCAACAATCGGTTGGCATAACCAAAGAATTTCTGCACAAACTGTCAGAAACCGTCTCAGGGAAGCTGATCTGCATGCTCGTCGTCCTCATTGGGGTCTCGACCTGACTGCAGTTCGTCGTCGTAACCGATGTAGCGTCTGGACCAATCAGAGACACACAAATTATTCATTATATTTAATGGATAATACAGCAAACTGTTACAAGATTGATAAGTTTTACTACCCAAAAGAATGTGCATGGACTTAATTCTTGCTGAGAAGGAGAAATGAACCCTTTTAATCCTATATATTCTATATATGAAGAGTTCAGATGCAAAACCCTCTAAATCCGTCAGACTTATTTTCTTTAAATGAGCATTTTTTATCAGGCTCCTATGTTCACGTCCAGTAGTTTCATTTTAAAGGTACTGATAAGGTTATTAGTCATTGAATAAAATAACTTTTTTTCAAAAATGTCACTTGAGTCAATTCAGTGATTTTTAACAAATTAGATTTTCTTTTGCGTCAAAAACAGCTAAATCCACTTGTGCTTTTTTCGCAAAAACCTCTAAATCCACCTCTTTGGGACAAGACATAGTAAATAGCTGAAAAATCAATACAAATGTAACTAGAAACACTGAAAAAGATTAGAGCACATTCATTTCAAAACTAAACAGTAGACACACCTCTTTACAGGGGGGCTGAATGAGATCTGCGATTATTTGCAAATCCCACCCCATTTCTCTGCAGTCACCTTTCTGCCCTGTCTGAATAAAGACAAAAGCCCCCCCGATTCACACAGTACAACCACATTGGCAAAAAGAATTGGCGATTAAAATAGTTTAATAGTTTTAGTTTGTATAATCAAGTAGAACAGAGCAACATTCTTAAACATCAATATCTGTGCATTTTGTATAAGAAGCTTATAAGACTTAAATAATGTAAAGTAATATTATAATGTATATCTCAAGTATAATAAATCAAATTCCTTCAAAGTTACAGCACTGCACCAAGAACTGTTATGAGTGCATGCTACACTTGCGACCAAGCTATTTTCACTGTAAAGTTACCGATTTTCTTTTGCCTTGTAAATTAACGGGAAGAGTTTTGAGGTAGATAAACGACGTTCTCTTCTGCCTTTTGATGTCAGTAGGACAGGCTCCTCCATTTCATCGTACTCCATCTTAAAAATGTAAAAAATCTGAATCCAAAAACAAAACAATCTCCTCAGCCGTCTCAAAAAATCCGTCTCCTCAGCGCACCGCTCTATTGAAACAGCCTGTACTGATTCGCGCGGCTCGCGCCTTCTGATTGGTTCTCGGGATGTAGTGGCTTTTGCTGCCAAAGGGAAGTGGCGTCTAGAGGCTTTTGCCGACAAACTGATATTTCTGAATGGGCTGAGGCTGAGATTTCGAGGATTTGAAGCAAATATATTTGTTGAACGTGTACTGTGTTCAGATAGCTTTCACTCAATGTCATTATCTCATTTTTGACGGAGGTGGCGTTTAGAGGCTTTTGCATCTGAACTCTTCATATATAACCATGTGATAAATGTATTAACATGTATCTAATGTTCCATCTCATGATTTTCCTTTATGTTGTTTGGTCTATGTTTTCTTGTAAACTCTAATGGGTTAATGTTTCAGACTTTGCATACTATGGTTAACCAGAATCATATGTGTGGCATATTTGATCTCTATAACCTGGTACTTTGAAGATCGAAATGACTGTGTACATGATATGTCGATAACAACAACATATTAGTATTACAAGAATCTTTCATAGTTTCTTCACTGGCTACCACCCCTCCAGCGTGCACATGCAATCAGCACCCTTAAAACAAAGAGCAATAAACCAAATTCCCGCCTGGAACTTCCACCCTTCTTATTGGCCGAGCCAACCCTGAGAGGTTTGACTTTTCTCAGGTAATAAATTGCATCCACACCAGCCCTTCCCTCTCTCTCACTCTCCTGTCCTCTCTTTTCCTCTAAGCCCTCTCTGAGCCTCTGGCTCTCTTACTCTCTTGGGCCTTCCTGAGAAGTCCTATGGTGAAGATGATGCTTAACTAGAAGTCCCTCAAGGACTCCCAAGCTTGCGCCAGGCTGTGACCTTGTCTTTCCATTCACCAAAGATCCTCTGACTACCACTGGTTCTCTCTCATCAAGACCACATCAGCAAAGATCAACCGGAGCCTCAACAAATTGCATCAGGACAGTTTAATTCAAATGGACGAGACATGCAAGTATCAAATTTAGTCTCATTATTTGATACATTAAGTATCCTTACCCCTTTTCAAGAAGGGCGTGTTAGAACTAAACTGATGGTTTGCTCAGGCTGTTGATCTGCTGAACATCAAACAATGCTATAACCTCTTGCTTTCCTGTATTCTGCTTCAGCTTTCTTTCCCTTGGTAAACTGTATGCATGTATGTATGTGTATGTTAGACTAGTTTAAATGTTTAGTCTAGTTAATAATAAAGTCTTTTTCATATCACACGTAAAGTTGTCTGTGTCTCAAGCTCATATCTGGAGTCACTAATCATAGATCTTGACTACTTGCTCTTAGTAGTACTTAGTAAGAAAGACATTTCCCATGCCCCGAAAATGTACATTTCTATTAATTAATTAATAACCAATATTGAGTGTTCACGGGATGAACCGGGTAATTGGTTGTAATGTTAAAGCTACATCAAGTTAACCAGATTAACTGATCCAAATATTCATAATCAATTATAACAAGTTGTGATTGATTATTAATATTTCATAGAGCTAGTTTGCTACACCGATTTGAGTGGGCAAATGCTCACATTCGATGGCGTCTGGCACTTTGGAGAGGTGTTCTCTTCACGGATGAATCCCGGTTTTCACTGTACAGGGCAGATGGCAGACAGCGTGTATGGTGTTGTGTGGGTGAGCAGTTTGCTGATGTCAGCGTTGTGAATCGAGTGGCCCATGGTGGCGGTGGGGTTATGGTATGGGCAGGCATATGTTATGGACAACGAACACAGGTGCATTTTATTGATGGCATTTTGAATGCACCGAGATACCGTGACGAGATCCTGAAGCACATTGTTGTGCCATTCATCCACGACCATCACCTCATGTTGCAGCATGATAATGCACGGCCCCATGTTGCAAGGATCTGTACACAATTCATGGAAGCTGAAAACATCCCAGTTCTTGCACATTTTAGAGTGGCCTTTTATTGTGGCCAGCCTAAGGCACACCTGTGCAATAATCGTGCTGTCTAATCAGCATCTTGATATGCCACACCTGTGAGGTGGTTGGATTATCTCGGCAAAGGAGAAGTGCTCACTAACACAGATTTAGACAGATTTGTGAACAATATTTGAGAGAAATAGGCCTTTTGTGTACATAGAAAAAGTCTTAGATCTTTGAGTTCAGCTCATTAAAAATGGGGGCAAAAACAAAAAGTTTTGCATTTATAATTTTGTTCAGTGTATTTAAATATATATATATATTTAAAAATCTGTAAATTTATATGTAAAAAGTCACTGAGTGACTGATTTGAAAAGTTAGTAATAAATTGAACAACAAAGTAGCACATTATATAGAAAAAGTTGCAGGACTATTATTTTGCATTTACACTCTAAGACTTAATGCACTGGGGCCGTATTCACAAAGAATTTTGTCTTACCACTAGGAGTACTCCTAAATCGCACTAAAATATTTTAGCTAGGAGTTTTCTCTTAAAAGTTATTCACAACGCCTTTCAGACCTACTCTTAGTAAGGAAAAATGACAACTCCTAAACTAAGAGTGAGTCATCGTTGCTATGGATGACGTCACTTCTCATGCACGAGCTTCCTCGCAATGATCACGGTGATTGGTTGTTAGATGACAGGGCCATCATGGGGAACATAACACAGACGCAACAAATCATGGAATTACGACATCTAAATATGTCTGTGTCCTACACAAAATAATAATAGTAATGTCATTGAAATGCATAATGACATGTTTGTGCAGGCCCCAGTGAAGTGTAATTCTAAAAAGGCAGAGAGAGAGAGAGAGAGAGAGAGAGAAAAGTGGTGAATTCAATTAAATCAAGCTAATACCCTAATGAAAATCATCACTTGCCTAATAATGAAAAAACGACACTTGCATTTACACTTGCTTGGTTAATTGACATCCTATTAGCCTAAATAGACTACTTAAAGCAAGGAAATGTTGCTCCTATTGAAGTAATGTAATAGTTGATTTACGGTGGATTATGAACTTGCCAAAACTTAAAAGAAAGCCCAACTGGACGCAGGATCAGTTACTGCTGCTGGCCCAGTTGGTGGCTTGGTGCTGAAAAAAAGTAATAATGATAAAAGTGAAATTCGGCACTGGGATATCAAGCAAAACTAAGCGTGAGACATGGGAGAGGATTTGTTTGCAGATCAATGCAGCATTCCTGCTTGTGTCGCGGACCCCGGACGACTGCGAGAGGCGGTGGTGTGCGCTACAGTCCTTTGTGAATAGGTCTTAGTGAGTTAGGAGTCCTCTCGACTTATTTTAAGCTGTCCCAGACTTAGGTGCTACTTTTAGGGCTAAAATGCTTCGTGAATTACTCTTAGTGAAAAAAATTAGGAGTCCTAAAGTTAGGAGTGACACGCCCATTATTTTTAGGAGTTGCTCCTAAATTCGCCAGTTAGGAGCTACTTTTAGCCTTAAAATTCTTTGTGAATACGGCCCCAGATCATTTGACATACAGTATCTGTTTTGTTCCATCTATTAATACGGTTGAAATTTTCTGTAAAATATATATAATATACAGAAATTTAGCAAAGATCGCTGTCATTATATTCACTAAAGCTGTCAATTACAACACGAGGCACACAAAGCTGTGAAAACCCGTTTTAATCAATGGCTGTCTACGTCGTGCAATGAATCTCATATTGACATTGTGTTTACTTTGTTGGTTATAATGAAAGGATTTGCAAGCATGCATAACTCGTGTTGAACCAAAACTCAGCCATTTTGAGCGGTGTTGGGCGGATTCTGACTAACTTAAACACATCTGATTGGCCATTGCTTTCACACACTCAACAGATATGTCTGTGATTGGCTACAAAGCTCATCGCTGTAAAAACATAATGTAAATAGAAACCTTTGATGCTCTTCACAGAGTGCAAACACAAACAACTCACCCCAGCGTTTTAAAGGAGCCGGCAATCAGTGGATACCGTTACTGCAGAACTGCAGGTATCATCACGTTAAATGATCAAATAAATGTTTGGTGGGATATTTTCATCAATATTTTCAATGCAGGAAAAACCCTGGAAAGAATGAATAGTTGTAGAATATTTGGGTGATTTTGTTTGGGAGTGCATCTGTATAGAACATTTTTTTAAAAAGGCAGAAAAAGTACTTTTTACTAGGAAATCCTTTTGGGTCTGAACAATTTGGGAAAACTTGAAAAATATGGGCGTTCATCCTTGGGTTTACTTCTAAAAGAATAAACTCAAACCAGTGTGACCAATTAAAAAAAAAGTCACTCAAGATTTCATAGACCACATTCACACTGTAAAATAATAATAATTATGATTTTGTAGTGATTATTATTAAATATATTAAACAAAACAAGAACTATATTGTAATACTATACTGTAAAGTACAAAAAAATTACAATACTAATATCTATGGCTTAATTCCTCATTTTCAAACAGTAGCATCAACTTTTATTTTTGAAGTGTTTCTGTCAAATAAATAAATGGGCTGCTGCTTTCAATGTGAAGGCATTGTATGTTCATTTACACACGTGCAGCTCACAGCGACTCAGAGCGGCTTGATTAAATGAACCAAGCAGTTCTGACACTCTGAAACGCTGTATCATGAACTACATGTTTGTAAATGTCTTGCTTCACTCTAAAACGGGTAGCACATATATTTACTTAAATCACAGCCTGTGCGAATTGACAATCGCACTAAGCCATATCGCGATACTGATTTTATTTATATATATCGTGCAGCCCTCACTGGTGTACTAAAAGCATGCTTTTTCAAGTGGATTATGTCTCCTAGATTGACTCTCTCACTAAGACCATATCAGTTGAAGACCCGATGAGTTCTCCTAATGCCGAGCTCTATGACAGCATGACGCTTTACTCCTTCATGGAAAAACATATCTGGACCACACGTGAGCATTTTGGATTTCTTGCGTGTTCAATTCATTGGATTGTACAAAACAGTCCATTGACATTTGTCGATACTTATCTATCTGTCCCTGTGCATCCTACAGAGATAAAAGAGGAGATAGCCTTGTGTAGCCGTATCGTGTTCGGCCTGGAAGCCTCTCAGGTGTCTTTCCTCTACTTTCTGATGTACTCCGCTGCAGCAGGGGGCACTCTACGCCTCCTGGAGACCACACCTGGATCGGGTCAGGAGTTCAGAGTCAAGGTGAGGGAGAGAGATAAGGTGGATAAACGACACAGAGACGTGACAGAGATAATTCTCACTATCTGCAATTGACCCTTCGCTAAGCCACGCCCGAAAACCGCCACTGGCCAATCGTGGCTTAGCAACCGTAACTAGGCGCGGGAGGTCTGTCAAGCTTTCGAGCGAGGGAAACATGCCGACGCGTTGTGCGTATGGATTGTGCAAATCTGATACCCGGTATTCTAAAAGTTTGGACAGTGCAGTGGGGTGGCATTTTTTCTCTTCCCGAAACCTAAAAGCCAAAGGGGAGAAATCCCGGGCGTGGATCAAGCAGTGTGGAGACCCATTCACAACTAAATGTCGACAGGATTAACAAAAAAAAAAACGCCTATTGCTTGGAAATAATGGCGGTTCTTCATAATGCATATATTTGAACGTAACATAAGACGATTAAAGGCAAGACGGAGGCTCACTGATATACTTTAAAATATGTTTCAGCATTTTGTTAATCGACGGCGGACGGCCTACGTTACCCCTGTAACTTTACCCCAATCCGATCGCGGCTCTCCCGGTGTTAGATTGATGGATAAACTGTTTGATTTGTAATTATTAGATTATTTTCACATTTCACTTACTCTGCTGTGCATGAACATAGCTGTTCAATTTGTGTGTTTCCCATTTGAATGGTCTGCTAAGGAGGCGGCTGCTACTTGCGCTGGGACTTAACGTTATAGGCTTTAGCTTCAATTTTGATGAAATTATTCTCTAATAAGTTGCATATTATGTCGTGGATATATCCCTCGAATGCATACTGCTGTCCATTTTGTCTTGCTCTCTCAGATATTTCACTTGTTCGCCAAAAATTACTAAATATCTCCTTTGGGAATGTCTGACACCGGTGCATTCACACTGTAATAGACGTGGCAGCCGCGAAAGCTTGACAGGCGTAGCAACAGTAACTAAGGAGGGCGGGGCTTAGCGAAGGGTCAATTGTTATTTAACAACGGAAGCGCAGTTTCAGATCTTAAAGAGGCCAGTCATTGCTTGAAAGCACAGCTTTTGTAATACAACTGGTTTGAAAGGAATAATTCAGCAAAAAAAGAAAACTTTTGTACTTATTTGCACTTTTGACATGACTTATTCCATAGAACACAAAAGTAGACAGTTGTTGCATTATAACAACATAGTGATCAAGGTCTTTCAAGCTCCAAAAAGTACTAAAAACACCATAAAAGTATTATAAAACAATTTTTTAATGTGGAATACTTTTTGCGGTTCTTATGGGGCTTTTTGGGTATTTACAGATGTGGTCATTATGGATTGTTTTTGTATGAAAGACTGTGTAACTTATACAAAACTATACTTTTGTCTTGCACTGACAAATAAAATCTGAACATGGGTTTGGAATGACGTGAGGTTAAGAAAACATTAAAAGGAAAATAGAAATATATATATATATATATATACAAAATTGCTTTTTCTTTTTTTTTCTTTTTTTAAACAAATGTGTATATGTTTTTAAATAAATTCTATTATAATTAATTTTCTTAAGGATAAAGAAATCAATCTTAGCTAATGCTGTAAACAATTGTTACACGTATGTCTTGTTTTTGCCCTTGTGTTCAGTATGTTAGTTCTGCCCTTTGACCTAGTCTTCCCCAGTCTGTTTAATTAGTAATTTCGTCCACCTGTCGTCCATTAATTATATCATTAGTTCTCACCCATTCTCTGTTCGTCCTCGTTTGAGATAGTGTTTGGTTGTGTTTATTCTTTGTTGTTCTCCAAGTTTACTATTAAATATTACTCCAGTTAAATCTCCTTCGTTAACTCAACCATTCCGTAACAACTATACGGGGAGCCCTTAATTACACAATACTATAATATTAAAGGTTACAATTACAAAAAAACAGATTACATTCAGTTGCTATTCATTTTTAGATGTAATAATCAACAACACTAAGTAAAAAAAAAAAAAGTACTGTAAATTGCACATAAAGGCAGGTTTTGCATTAACTTATAAATCTAATTATAAAGTAAATTTTCTACTCCAATTCAGTTTTGAAATATAGTCATTTACACATGCGGCTGTCATAACTTATTTTCATGACAAATTTATTTAAACATACATTAAACAATCAAGACATTAGGTTAAGTAAATGTAATAAATATGGCTAATAATGTGCATACGAAATGCTTCTCTCTAGTGTTCAATTCATCTAGCGAAGTAACCTGCTGTCGACACTAAATGCCTGAGGTAAATGTAATGCTACGTGAAATTATTCTCAAGCCATTTTATTGATATCTTTCCGCAGTTGAAACCATAGACAGTAAAAGAAATGGACAGAGCGATCTCATTGGAACTCAGTTGAGACAGTTGAAGCCCACTTTTAGCGATTTTTGAGAACTTCCGTTCCTGACGCGCAGACTCAGACCGACTCAAACTAAGCTTGATGACGTGAGCAACCTGTCTGACAGACGTTAATCTTCTAGTAGCTGTGCGTGAAAACTGCCAACGTTAATCTTGCAGAGACGGGGAACTTGAGCAAAGAGTTCTTTATCGTGAGTGAGCAGGAGGAAGTATTCCGTTGCTTTTATGGACTCATTATCTATGGGCTTCTCCCTTGACGGGACGTCCCCCTGATTGCCTGCGAGCTTCTCCTCCTGTCTGTACGGTCATTTCTGTACAGCGCGACAGAGAGTCGAGTGGTTATGACGCAATCGTTAGCCTATTTTTACTAAATCTGTTTCTACGGGGCCATAATGTAACATAGAAGGTAATGGAGCCCATTATACATTGTCGTGTTTCTTTAGAAATAAATAATGGACAAATGGAGTCTTTAAACGCCTCAGATGTAAAGTTATTCGCTGTCAAAGTGACGCCAAAATGACTGGGAGTCAATGGAAATGCTAACGCAAGTGAAGTTCTGCTACAACATGGCGGCACCCGGCCGGCTTCAACTTCCGGTCGATGGATTACCCCCTTGGTTGAAACGTTCGATCATTTCTTCTTCTGTGCTTTTTACTGGTAGCAAACAGCATTGCATTGCCGCGCGCGCCCCCTTCTGGATTGGAGTGAGGATCGCCTGTGACTGATTGTATTCTTTGTAGAGGTCTGCACGGGCTTTAAACTGAAGCCCGAACCCGGCCCGTACCCGCGATCATTTAACCCGACCCGACCCGACAATTACATTTACATATTAAGCCCGAACCCGACCCGAACCCGAGGTCCATTCTGTTTCTCACAGCAATACCATTTTTGCAATATGCTATGTTGTATTTAATGATTGCTTGACATATTAAACAAATACATGTAGGCGCAGCGGCCCTATCAGCAGGCAGCACAGCAGTAAGAGAAAAAACTTACCAAGTAATTTTTTGCTTTATCAGACTCATGGTTTGCTTGTTGTCGTCGGCTGTCTGTATTGTGACTGAAATAGCGCGCGAGAGCGGTAGCACATGCGCAAAACAGTTTTGTGATATAAATGATATGATAAAATAAAACAAATAATTAAAAAAATTATATTTATATATCATTATATTTGAGAGAGAGAGCCTGTATGCACATATTGCACATCTGCGCACGTAGCCTATACTTTCTCTCTCTCGCGTGCCGGTCACCACAACACAGCAAGCAGGCAAAGCACACGGCACGCAAACTATATAGCCTATTTAGTTTTTCTTAGTTAAACCCGAACCCGACCCGAACCCGAGGCTGTTCATTAACATTAACCCGAACCCGACCCGAAACCCGCACATTTTTCGGGACCCGTCGGGCTCGGGTCGGGTAGCAGACCTCTAATTCTTTGTGCGACTGCATGCACCGAACCGTCACGTCCGTACCGTACGGTTTGGGACGAATACTGTATACATGTACCGTTACACCCCTGATATATGTGTATATATATACACTCACCGGCCACTTTATTAGGTACACCTGTCCAACTGCTCGTTAACACTTAATTTCTAAGCAGCCAATCACATGGCGGCAACTCAGTGCATTTAGGCATGTAGACATGGTCAAGACAATCTCCTGCAGTTCAAACCGAGCATCAGTATGGGGAAGAAAGTTGATTTGAGTGACTTTGAACGTGGCATGATTGTTGGTGCCAGAAGGGCTGGTCTGAGTATTTCAGAAACTGCTAATCTACTGGGATTTTCACGCACAACCATCTCTAGGGTTTACAGAGAATGGTCCGAAAAAGAAAAAACATCCAGTGAGCGGCAGTTCTGTGGGCGGAAATGCCTTGTTGATGCCAGAGGTCAGAGGAGAATGGCCAGACTGGTTCGAGCTGATAGAAGGGCAACAGTGACTGAAATAACCACTCGTTACAACCGAGGTATGCAGCAAAGCATTTGTGAAGCCACAACACGCACAACCTTGAGGCGGATGGGCTACAACAGCAGAAGACTCCACCGGGTACCACTCATCTCCACTACAAATAGGAAAAAGAGGCTACAATTTGCAAGAGCTCACCAAAATTGAACAGTTGAAGACTGGAAAAATGTTGCCTGGTCTGATGAGTCTCGATTTCTGTTGAGACATTCAGATGTTAGAGTCAGAATTTGGCGTAAACAGAATGAGAACATGGAACCATCATGCCTTGTTACCACTGTGCAGGCTGGTGGTGGTGGTGTAATGGTGTGGGGGATGTTTTCCTGGCACACTTTAGGCCCCTTAGTGCCAATTGGGCATCGTTTAAATGCCACGGCCTACCTGAGCATTGTTTCTGACCATGTCCATCCCTTTATGGCCACCATGTACCCATCCTCTGATGGCTACTTCCACCATGTCACAAAGCTCTAATCATTTCAAATTGGTTTCTTGAACATGACAATGAGTTCACTGTACTAAAATGGCCTCCGCAGTCACCAGATCTCAACCCAATAGAGCATCTTTGGGATGTGGTGGAACGGGAGATTCGCATCATGGATGTGCAGCCGACAAATCTGCGGCAACTGTGTGATGCCATCATGTCAATATGGACCAAACTCCCTGAGGAATGCTTCCAGCACCTTGTTGAATCTATGCCACGAAGAATTGAGGCAGTTCTGAAGGCAAAAGGGGGTCCAACCCGTTACTAGCATGGGGTACCTAATAAAGCGTCCGGTGAGTGTATATATATATATATATATATATATATATATATATATATATATATATATTAATATGAAAAAAAATGATAAAGAAAGAAATATCAAGTTTAAACAAACTCCCATGTGGCTGAATAGTGTGAGCTAGGTTGAAACTCAGCGATAGCATCCGATATCAGCAGTTGATTTAGGTGAAAGGGTGAAAAACGGCTCATTTTGAAAAGCTTTTATCTCTTAGTCCTCTTTTACCTACATTCTGCCAGCACTGACTGCCTTATTTATCTCTCTACCAGATTAGGCCTGTCTTTAACCTCCTAACCATTGAGCACTGCATACGATTACCATGTGTACTGTATTCCCCATTGCGATTTTTCAGCACACACTCAATGCGATCTCATAGTCTCATAAAACAAAACAGATGTATCATCATGGCATGATACTCTTTTACACACCAGTCATTTTGAACATAATTTGTGGCAGAGGAGAAGCCCAGTGGAGCAACACAGACGTCTGAAACAAGGTGTTGTGTTTTTTTGTGTGCATTGAGAGCAGAATCAGTGGATGACCCTAGTGTGATGCCCATCTCTCTCCACAGGGAGGCACTCAGCAGCTGTCGGAGAAGCTAGTGGAGCAGATCGGAGCAGAGCGGGTTCGGCTGGGTGCCGGCGTAACCACCATATGTCAGGTAACAACTCCATCAGCGCAAGGCTTGACACAGAGATAATGAGCATTTCTCCACCAGCCGTGCGAGTGATAAGTTCCTTTCCTTTAAACGAGATACTATTCAGATACCAAGGCATGGGTCCTGCTGTGTGCTTTTCTCTCTCTCTCTTTTTTGTTTTGTTTTGCACTGCCTCTTCCTTTTCATTTCTGTATAATGCACTGCTGTACGCTGAAGTGCTTGTCATGACTAAAATATTTAGATAACCTAAATCAAATCCACTCCATTAGATCGTTCTCATTTGAGAATTGGTGACACAAAATCTTTTGAAAGCCTCTCGTCAGGGAATTAGCCTATAATGTCGCTCTCACACATAGAGAGGGAAAATCCATTAGCCATCTTAATGGTGTTACATCGACATGGCTGAGTAGAAAGTTTTACTCGCTCCTCACTGTTTATCAAACCAAACTCGTTGACTTCTATCAATATCAATTAAGTGAAGTGGTGGTCACCGTATAGCACATGTGATAATAAGTCTGCACTATTCAATAGAGGCAAAAGCCCCTGCAGCACATTTTTTTTAGTATTTGAATATAGTTGGTTACTTGTACAATCAAAACGATCTTCTATAATCAGTGTCAAATATAATATTCAAAGGTGTTGCAGTTGTAGCAAATTGTTTTTTTTGCGATACCATGTATGAGATTTCACTGAAATAGGTCCTCTGAGAAATCACACATCGGGAGCTCTGTAAACAGAAAAGGGCTCACATTTGTTTAGTTAATCAGAAAATTAGTTTAAAAAATGTTGTACTAAAAATAATATAAATTAATACATTATTTGTATATAAATAAAATATTAATGTAATTTTTTACTTTTTGTTTACTTTAATATCACATTTCTTTAGGTTCACATTTCTTTAGGTTTTTCACATTTCTTTAGGTCTTGTGTTATACGTATGAAGATACAACCTGAATAAATGTGATGTTGGTTCCTACATATATTTTTCTATTCTATGAACACACTACCGAAACTAGTTTGGGGTCTGTAAGAATTTTTTTTTAATGATTTTAAAAGAAGTGTCTTTTGCTCATCAAAGCTGCATTTATTTGACCAAAATTATATTTTAATAAAGTTTAATTAAAGGGTTAGTTCACCCAAAAAGGAAAATTATGTCATTAATGACTCACCCTCATGTCGTTCCAAGCCCGTAAGACCTCCGTTCATCTTCGGAACACAGTTTAAGATATTTTAGATTTAGTCCGAGAGTTTTCTGTCCCTCCATTGAAAATGTATACACAGTATACCGTCCTTGTCCAGAAAGGTTAGAAAAACATCATCAAAGTAGTCCATGTGACATCAGTGGGTTAGTTAGAATTTTTTGAAGCATCAAAAATACATTTTGGTCCACAAATAACAAAAACTACAACTTTATTCAGCATTGTATTCTCTTCCGATTCTGTTGTCAAGCCGTGTTCACGAGTCCGCAGTGACGCCGATGACGTGTATCTGGTGCGTCCGTGTATTCGGGTTCAAATAAATATGAAGTCTTCCTCTGTCGAAATCCTTAGACATGTTTGCGAAGATTGTTTTGTTTACAGCGTGCGTCTCCCTCAGACTCTAAACGAAGCTCGGGCGCACTGATAACACGTCAGCAGCGTCTTACGTCATCAGCGTCACTGAACGCGAATTGACAACAGAACCGGAAGAGAATACAATGCTGAATAAAGTCGCAATGCTGAATAAAGTCGTAGTTTTTGTTATTTTTGGACCAAAATGTATTTTCGATACTTCAAAAAATTCTAACTAACCCACTGATGTCACATGGACTACTTTGATGATGTCTGTATTTCCTTTCTGGACAAGGACAGTATACCTTGTATACATTTTCAATGAAGGGACAGAAAGCTCTCGGACTAAATCTAAAATATCTTAAACTGTGTTCCGAAGATGAACGGAGGTCTTACGGGCTTGGAACGACATGAGGGTGAGTCATTAATGACATAATTTTCATTTTTGGGTGAACTAACCCTTTAAGTTTCATAAAAATATGTAAATGTATTGAGAAATATTATTACAATTATTATTCTATTTTAAAATTTATTTATAAATTTATACATCTGATATACTGATTTGCTGCTCAATAATTGAATGAATGAATAGAAAGTTTAAAAGAAGAGCATTTATTAAATACATATAAATATTTTGTAACATTTTACATGTCTGTTTCGATCAATTTAATGCATCCTTGCTAAAAGTACAAATCAAATGTATTTCTTTAAAAACAAAAAAATCAAACTAAACCCAAACGTTATTATTACATTATATAAAAATATCAAACAGTAAAAGCTTCTTTTCAGTTGAATTTCCAGAGCCCAGGAAAAATGCTGAATGTATGTTGAACCCGGCAGTGTAAAGACCTGTTAAATGTGCCCCCCTTGTCCCATAGCCAAGGATAACGTTTATCAATCTCCTTTACAATGATTTCTATCTGCAGCACCTCTGGGGGTCGTACATACTGTAACAGCCTGTATTTATTTATATCTCAGTCTGGCCAGCGGTGAGATCTGTTGGGGGAGAGCTTTATGACAGATGGCCATATTAATAATATAAAATTAATAAAGAATAATGGCACTATTGTCGTCTTTAGGGCTGCTTATATCTAAATTTAACTCGTTTCATGATTGATGAACTTTACAAAGTTATTGTCCAAAACTGATTTTTGTGCATATCCGAGTGGAATCCGATCATATTTAGCAAGTAAAAATCACATGATCCTATTTCGAGATGCATTCTTATGTGGTTTGAAATCTTGTTCAAAATGCATTTCTGGAAATCCTTTTCAGTCTGACCGTTCTAATCGGATGTTGTGCCATTTGTTGCTTTCTTTTGCCATGCAAGACCTTGTTATAGGAAACATGATGAAAGTCTCTGCAGAAACAACTGTTGTTGCAAAGTGCCGGTCGAGCAGAAAATTTGAATATAATAGAGACATGTTTTGAGAATGATGTAGACGAAAGCACATCATGTTGTAAATAAGACACAACATCTGTTTTGCAAATCCCCTCCATTTTGCTGTTGTTGTTTTTAGCGTATTTGGCGTAAACGTCATTGCCATAGAAACCAATGCAGATATTCTGGAAAACACAAATCAGATCTAAACAGTTGCGATGCACAGTGTGGACAGCCAATAATGTAGATCAGATTCCAATCGGATACACAAATAATCAGATTTGGATTTGAATTTGTCTCATATTTGATGAGGTTTGCATCATTGAAACAATCTGCACTGTATAAAAGGCTGTTGAAATATAGGTGACATGCCTCCCTGTTGATATGTATTCTCCAATACATAATAACATGAATTTCTTGATAGGGATCAATAGAGTTCATTAACAATACCGTTATTGTGTATTGGCTACAGTTTCAGCAGCCACATTGTGTCAGTGTCCTTGCCATTTCAGTCTAAGCTCACAATACCAGACAGTTTTAGTCTTTGAATCAATTCTAATATGTTTTTCTCTTACAGGATTCAGAGAACATAAAAGTCACGACTTCTGCAGGCACAGTCACTTGTAAAGCCGTCATTGTTGCTTGTCCTTCTAACTTGGCAGGTTAGTGCCCGTACAGTATACACACACGTCTATGTGAATCACAAAGTTCATACAAAACAGTCTGTCGCATTGACCCCGAAACAGCCGTCAATCACATGCCCCCTGTAGTCTACTTCCTCCTGGACTGCCGCCATCCTGACTGCAAGTTTGGCTGCCACATTTTGTTTAACAGATAGTGCAGCGCAGTCTGTTGCACGGAGTCTGGCGTGGACACTTTTAATGTGACGGATCTAAGGACAGCTCTGAATTACGCAGAGTGCCTGAACTGCCATCGTCCTGCTGGCTCGAAATCAGAATTCACGCATGGCAAGCTGACAGGTGACAGGAACTCTTAAAAACTGGAGACACTGTTAACTTTAGACAGCCGCCCAAAATGCATTCAGCGAATAAATAATGAAGGCAGTGTGGCTTGAAGTCAACCCTCTGGCAACTTCTCCTGTTACAAACTGAAAACTTTTAATATGTACTGGGAATCAGACTGTTGAAGCATCACACAAGCTGTATTGTTGAGCACACACACACACACACACACGTACACACACACACACACACACATATATATATATACTCTGTCAATCGATTAAAATATATTATAATTTATAATTATAATTATATATATATATTATAATTTCACATTTAATATCCAAATTAATGTAGAAACAACATCAAAAACAGTACCTTAATTTTTTTTATATTTGTTTAATGGCATCTTTTTATGAAAGAAGGCCAGTCAGTATCACAGATAACAATTATGCTACTGATGTCTCTATGAAATTGATTTTTCTTTCTCAAATTTAGCCATTATAGCCATTCAGCATTACAGTATAATTGAAAGCTATAAATTGTTACATTTATTAGGTTTTAAAAAATATCACTACGTTTTGATTTAAGTGAACTTAAAACAATCTTCACATAAAACCATTATACTAAATGTCACATTTACCAATGCTCTTCAATACAGCAGGGTTAAAATTTTTCTATTAAGTTGACCCAGTCAGACTGGTTCAGATTTTTACTTGTCCAGTCAAAATGCCCAAAAAAGTTACTGTTTTCGTTGTTTTTGACCCATGTAACCCTGTAAACCAGTGGTTCTCAACCTCTCCTGCAGGGACCCCCTGACACACCATGTTTCTGTTTTAACCCTGAAATGGCACACCTGATTCAATTAATTAAAGGCTTAATGAGTCATTATTAGAGTAGGAAGTAGGAATTAGTTAATTGATCAATTAGTCAACTACTCATTAAGCCTTCAATTAATTGAATCAGGTGTGCCATTTCAGGGTTAAAACAGAAACATGGTGTGTCAGGGGGTCCCTGCAGGAGAGGTTGAGAACCACTGCTGTAAACAGTGCTTTAAGATTTTTAGGTCTAGCAGGTTGGATATATCAAACACTTCACAGTCTTCACTGCATAAATTATAAATTAAATATAGATTAATCCTGATTAAAGCTACGAAAGTTATTCAGTCAAGAGCAGTGAGGGATTTTCTCTTTTTCATTTGTTCTTTGATTACCCTTAATGACGGACAGCAGCAGGTTTATTAGGTTGCTGTCACTTTAAGACCTGCCGCACATCAAGTGGATCTGACACACATCCCATATTCTCACAACTCTTTACGTTCATTTTAGACTTCATTTAACTAATCTAAGACTGTTTGCGAGGACACGCAACAAAAAAGGGCATTTTGGCATAATTTTGTGTTTTTGTTCATTCAAGCCTGTCTGAAGCGGTTTTCTGTGCACATCTGCGCACTAGTCGTGTGTGTGTCACACAGACAGGAGATTCACAGACGTGGCCGTACCGCACTGCGTTCTCTTTTTGGGCTTGAATGGTTTAAAAGCATTAATAAGAGCATGATCATATAATGTAAAGCTTTCTAAAGGATGACGGGAAAAACGGAGGCTGCATTAATTGCATTAAATATTTTTAACATGTTAAACTGAAAATATTAATTGGATGCCTTAACACATTCAGTTTGACAGCCCTAATATGTGTGTGTGTGTGTGTGTGTGTGTGTGTGTGTGTGTGTGTGTGTGTGTGTGTGTGTGTGTGTGTGTGTGTGTGTGTGTGTGTGTGTGACTGTGTGTTTGTGTGCGTACATATTCTGATGATACGATGCAATTCTACTTGGTGAAACTAGTGACAGAAATTAGCTTTAAAGTAGTGCTGCACGATTAATCATATCGCAATCACAATGTCAAGCCTATGCGATTATATGGCGCAAAATGCTGCGATCTTATGAAATAAATAAATGCATGTGTGGACATGACAACCCATTCTCTCTGAGAGCTCTTTGCCCATTTTCTACACTGCCAACTTTCACTCATTCAGCTTGAGACTCACGCAATCGACACTTTTCACACGCTCTCACGCCACACATCCATTTTCTCACGCAGAGAAAAATCGCGAAGCAAAGAGAACACTGACTGTCACTTTTGATATGAAACTAATTTTCAGCTCTCAGATTCTGTAAATTTTATTACGAAATTCAAACAATAGGGTTTTTGCGCTTGTAAATGTGACGTGACAGATTGTGATCGTGAGCCGAACATCTCTTACTCTTTACTAGTTAATAGTAAATAAACACGAATGAACAATTGGTGTGTTGAAAGATACAGTACAACTTACCGAAATGTTTATGCCTCATACATAATATCGATCAATCAGTGTTTTTTTTCAACTGGAAAGAGGTCAATAACAGCTGGAGAACAATAGGCCTATGTCACATTACATGTACCTCAGGAAAGCCATTTGATAGCACGTTAGTTGGCTAGACAAATTATATATAGAGAGGAGTATTTTACTAAATATGTGCACTATATTAAATATTTATTTATTTTTACTTATCATTAAAATATTGTAACGTTGTTATTATAGCCTAGTAAAAACCACATTATATTTAATTTGAGTTGTTATTTTTAACCATTAATAATAATACCAGCTGACAGGGCTCTCTGTATGTTTATAGCATTAGGCGAGATATTTTTTTTCTTGAGAAAAATTAACATGTATCTACTGTTAGGCTACCTAATATTTATCCAAATGAATCGATATTGAATCAAGATCGGAATCAAATCACAAGATTTGAATTGAAATCGTGAAATTTGTGTCAAGGAATAATAAAAACAGTAGCCAACAAGTCATTGTACCATGTAAACATTGTAACATGTTGTCACTAAACTTAACAAAATTCTGTTTAGTTACCAAATGTTTTGACAATCACAATACACTTACACCAAAAATGATCCACAGGCTGAGTTTAGACAAAGCATATACGTTACATCCTGCTTATATGTCCCTGCTTGTCTTGACAGAATGTTCAAAATATCTTATTTTCATGAGCATACAAATGTTATTATTTATTGTTCTATTTATTTTATACTATTGTACTATTGAGACAATAACAAGTTTGCAGTAATGCAAAGATGTCATTATTTAATTTGGTAAAAAAATATTATTTTAATTTGAAAACATTGTGCATTTAGTTGTTGTTGCTAGTTTGAGTTGAGAAATACACATTTCAGCATTATCACTAATCTGTGTGTGCATTTTCCTTGAGAACCAAGCAAGTTGACTCATGAAACCATTTGTTTATAATAAATCGTGCAGCCCTACTTTAAAGTAATAATTCACTCAAAATTGCAGTTTGAATGCAGTATTTTCTTTCTTACATGAAGCACAAAGTATATCTTAATTAAAAAGAATGTCCTTAGACAGCTTTTTTCTACAATTAAAATTGATAGTGATTTAATATGCCAAGCTTAAAAAAAACACCAATCTCATAAAAGCTCCAAAAATTAAGGAGGATACTGTTAGGGAATAATATATATATATAAAAAAAAAAATTCTCAAAAAAGGTTATTATATAACTTCAGAAGACTTGGAATGTAGCAGTAGTCATCACATGGTTACTTATTTGAGGTTAGCATTTATAATCACCATCCATTCTAATTGAATAGAAAAGCTCCTTAAGGACTTCTGTTTCATGAAAGAAAGAAATTAATACTGGGAACTGAGGACATGATCACAAAACTAATTTTTGGGTGAGCTGTTTCATAAAAGGCTTGTCTTCAGAAAATGTCTTTATTTACATTAGTGTAAGAATTGTAATATGCTGTAAATATAAAATTAATATTATTAATATAATATTATTTATGATTAATAATAATACATTAATAAATATAATATGTATATTTTAAAAACATGTATACAGTTCCCTTTCAGTCGTTCACGTTCAACGTAGTCGACGTCGACTGAATGGGATCACGGCAGGGAGCCAGTCATCTTTGAGTACTATTGAAACGAGCCAATGGAATTGGCGTATCGTAACAAAATTTTTGATACCGATACCTTGACTTCGATACCAGTTCCTGAACGATACTTTTTTCGATACCAATTTTAGGAAATCCGTTTTAACAATATTACATTACCTAATTTTTTTTTTCAGTATGTTGACTTTTTTACACTCATATTTTGAGTCTGTAAAAAAGCACCAATGCTAAAGTTTTCTATGTTTCCTAATCATTTAACAACATGTATTCTTTACTTCAATGAGCTCATTGTTTCTGCCTTAACTTAATGCATTGTTTAACAATGAAAGAAATGAAACTGAATGAAAATTAATTGAAATGCATTACACACAGTCACCTCTGATAACAGATAATTTAGACACATGCATTTTCTGTAAAGCTGTTTTGAAACTATATGTTTTGTGAAAAATGCTATACAAATAAATGTGAATTGAATTAAATATAGGCTAATGGGGTGCGGAATATATGCCTCACACTCAGCACACATAAAGCTTGCCGCAAAGCAATGGGGAAAGTAGCCTAATGATAATGGATGTGTCGGGAAAAAATAGCAAGGAGATATTTTTTTTTTTTATTAATAAACAAGCGTTTACTGAGTGGGTTGGCTGCAGAGAATATGGCGATGTTGACACATGAACACGCACGTGCGCCTATATAGATTACATAATCAAACTATTTATTTCGTTTAAA